TCTACTTGCTCTGCCTCCTCGGAGGCCTCCTGCCGTTTGCGCGCGTTTCCTACGCCGCCGGCAGCGGGCCATCCGTCCCAGGCTCCCCAAGCCTCGTCGTCTACCGCCCCAAGTTCGTGGAAAGAAGCACGCAGGATGGCGCGTTCGTTATTTCTAGTAAGCTATTAGGATTTTTTTCCATAGGGTGCTCAATAATTAGAGTGTTTAGTCGTAAATTTATGCGCATGCACACTTTCCCAACGTAGCTGGCCAGGAGGCGGAGTTGTTGTTGTATGGGGAGAACTTTACGAATGAGACAACGCTGTGGCTGACAAACAAGTTGTCTTGTTTTGAAGGTGAGCCCGGCGGAGAGCTCCACAGTCTTGGACAACTCCACGTCTCCAGTGAGGACGGGAAGCGAGCCAAAATCACATTCCCGGCGTTGAATATTTTGGGAGAGTACCACTTCTGTCTCTCGGACATCGAAGCCAGCCAGTCTGCAGTGCTGCAGGGGAACGGGGAGGACCCTACCCTCAAGCTAGTTATTGCAGACGGCGGTTCGTCGAGCGAGTCCCCTCTTCTTCCACTTCCAGCCAACATAGTCCTCCTCCTAGTCCTCATCCTCCTCTCGGGGACCTTCTCCGGTCTGAACCTGGGTCTTATGTCCCTCGACCCCACCACCCTCAAACTGGTCATGGAGAGTGGGTCCGGGCGACAGAAGATCTACGCCAAACTCATCTACCGCGTGAGGCGATACGGAAACTACCTCCTCTGTACCCTGCTCCTGGGTAATGTGCTCGTCAACAACACCCTCACTATTCTCTTAGACAGTGTCCTCGGGAGTGGATTGTACGCCGTCATCGCCTCGACGGTGGCCATTGTCATCTTTGGCGAGATCGTCCCGCAAGCCATCTGCTCCCGACATGCCCTGACAATCGGAGCCTACACCATATGGCTCACGTACATCTTTATGGCCCTCACCTTCCCCCTCTCCTTCCCCATCAGTCTCATACTTCACTTCATCCTCGGGAAAGAAATCGGGGCCGTGTACACACGCAATGAGCTTCTAGGCCTCCTGAAAGTGACGGAAGACCACCACGGGATTGGTAAAGACGAGGTCCAGATTATCTCTGGGGCTCTCAAGTTCAAAGAGAAGACGGCAGAGGACGTCATGACCAACTTTGAGTACGTCTACTGTCTGGACATACAGAGTGTCCTGGATTTCAGGACCATACGTGAGATCTACGACTCTGGATTCAGTAGAATACCAGTCTACGAGGAAACCAAGTCTAACATAGTGGGTGAGCTCATCTTTGTTTACTACCTTCCCTCCATGCACGTGGCACTGTTTATGTAGGTATGTGTTTTAACTCCCCCTATTGTTTCTCTAATCATAGCTGGTGTAGTGTAGTTTCCAGAGTGCCAAGTGTCCAACTGCATACAGAGTACAGAGGGCGACCCTCTCTAATTATACCATCCCATCGGTAGAGGGCAACCCTGTCTAATTATACCATCCCATCGGTAGAGGGCGGTCCTGTCTAATTATACCATCACATCTCTGTGTGCAGGTGTGCTCTATGCAAAGGATCTTGCGTTTGTTGACCCGGACGATGAGATGCCGCTCAAGCAGGTGCTGAATTTCTACAATCGAGAGTTGACGTCGGTCTACAACGACACCAAGCTGGACGAGCTGCTGGAGCAGTTTGCTGGCGGGCAGTGCCACCTGGCCGTTGTCAACATTGTGGTACAGGAGGGCTCTGGGGACCCTCAGCTCCAGGTGGTCGGTGAGTATATGTTGGCTCGTATTCTTCTTGGATTTTAAAATGTGGGCTAAACATTGACCAAAAACCTATGTATCTTTGGAAGTGCTGAAAAGTGGTATCGAGGACATTAAAAGAGGGTCATTTCTTTCTCTTAGCGCTTAACACTTAAAGAGCACAAGAAAATCAAAATCCTTTTGTACAAACTTTCTTACTGTATGTATGTGTGTTGTTACCTGGGTATGATGCTGTGCTCTTGTGTGTGTCAAACTAAAGGTGTAGTGACACTTGAAGACATAGTGGAGGAGATTCTGCAGCTGGAGATTGTCGATGAGACTGACCGAATCAGTGAGTCACATTCAGCATACACACATACAGAGTTAGTGTAGACTAGGGAATACTGAAGAATGCGTTAGTGTGCTGTTCCCTGCCCTCCAGTGGACAATCGTAGTCAGAAGCCGCGACAGAGGAACCAGGTGGACGTTGGGGGGTTCATGGGGGATTCCCCTCGAGACAGACCTCACATGTCATCCCAGCAGAGACTGGCCGTCTACCAGTTCCTCTCCAGCAGTGAGACCATCTCTTGTCTTATCCACACAAACTCTATTACTGTATCGTGGGGAAAAACTAACCTTTACTGTGCAGTATGTTTAAGCCCAAAAATCGATGATAAAGTAACTTTGCAGCAGAGCGCTGTTTACTGTATTCTCGCCTGTTTTGCAGGTGTCGAAGCATTCAAGAGTGGGAAGATATTGCCAGGGATCCTGCGACGGCTCTTGCTCCAGGACGTGGTGCGGCAGTACACGCAGGAGGAGATTCAGGCTCGCAACGTGACCCTCTATCGAATCAACATCCCCACCTCCTCGTTCACCCTCGTCCTTGAGGGACACGTTGAGGTCGAGGTCGGGAAGGAAGGCATGAAATTCGAAGCCGGTCCCTTCCACCATTTTGGAGTGCAGGCTCTTGAACTTGCCGACAGCGGTAGTGGAGACTACGTCCCGGATTTCACGGTGCGTCCCGTTTCAGACTGCGTTCTCCTGATGATATCCTGCAATCAGTACCTGGACGCTCGCAAGGCGACCAAGTTTCAGAAGACCAAAGACCAGGAGAGCCCGGCGGCAAGTCTGTTTTCCAACCATACGTCGCCGCTGAGTTCGAGAGTGGAAGGGAGCGTGTCAGCCCCGGGGAAGTTGGTAAACGGTCGAGCCAGTCGCTCGGGCACCAGCGTCAAGTCAGTGCCCAAGAGACTGCGAATGGGAGGTCGACAGAGCGACAGGGAAGAATCTCACCGTCTCCTGCTGGAGGAAGACGAAGAGGACGAACAGGTGCTACCCAGTGCTCTGATGTCTCCCAGCAGTAGCGATGGTGGGTCCTCTGCCAGAGTCACGGTGGTAGAGGTGGAAATGTATGGTGTGGATGGTGGGAGAGCTGAGGACAGCTCAACTGAACCTCTACCAGACGAAACTCCTCACAGCGCTGCCGACTACACCCCGCTCTAAACACTTGGTTGGTCTCTTAACACAGACATTGGGTTATTTCTACTGCTTATAATCAATCGGCATTTGTTATCAATTTTCATCATCAGGTATCTATACTTAGTCAACTGTTTTGTGTTCAGTTTTTGTATTCTTTCCTTATCCTTGTGATCAAGAGTTGTAAAATTTTTATCTCACAAATCATTCTTATATATAACCTCTAATTATGATAATATAAAAAAAAAATGCTAAAAATACCCATGAAAAGAATCTAGAATACCAAATTTTATGGTGAGTATATACTAGCATTTTTTCATTTCTTTGCGAATTTCCTCTTCTGTTTGACGAGGACGCGGGACACAAACTCAGAGGAAGTGGCTGCACTCTGCACCATGCCATAGTTCATGCCAGGAGAGGCAGTTTCAACTTCACTGAACATGTCCATGGTGGTCTTGGAGGCTCCCTGTGCCTCTGCATACGCTGCCGAGCTCTTCCCTGGTGTCATCAAAGGGTTAAAAATAGAACTAGAAACTATGTCTGTTTCATCTGTTTTGTGGGCAAATGGACCAACATTGGGACATCAAAAATCTGTGAAGTTTTACTATCTACCAAGTTCTCTCTCTTGAATGCTATATACACTGCTCATGCATGTACAGTAAGGCACTCAGTTTGTGCATGGGTCGTTGCACATTGCAAGAGGCTCGGGGCTGACCTTGTTTCTTGGTGCGAGTCTCGCTCCTCTGCAGGTAGAAGTGGGAGATCATGTGGTAGACAATTCCCTTGCCCCACTCAAAGGAGACAATGACAGGGTCGTGCTTGTACTTCCTCTTCAGCTCGTCAGACTTCACCAGTACTTTGACCTTCTTCTTGTCAAGTATCTGCCAATATTCTTACTGGAAGCTGCACAATAATTACTGCTAGAAAATGCATACCTCAATGGGGTAGGATGAGCCCTCCAGCCACCATACTGGAGCTGCATCTTTTTCCTGGTCCAGGAACCCTGCAGACAAATCAAACGTTCACCAATGTTATAGCATTGTACTGCAAATCCTCCCAGTAAGGGACACCATGTCATAGTATATGGGGACAGAACCAAGTGTCCTTTATAGAGAGGTGTCCTTCCCTTTTTCACTGACATATAATACTGCATACAGACCTCGTAGAATGTCGTCGTCTTTATCAACAATCTCAATGGCCACCACCTCATCTCCGGTGGAGGTGCCCGAGTAGCGCACCGTACCAGGGAAGGCCACCTCCAGCACGTGTTTCAGCGCCCAGTCGGTGGTGATGAGCTGCCCCCGGCCTCCACAAAAACCCGCAGCTTCTTGGCAACTTCGACGGGGAACGAGGACGGGCAGTTGACGTAGACGGTCTGCTCTGGTTTGAGGTCCATCTTGAGGAGGGTCTGGGGACTCACGTGGGAGAAGGGGATGCCGATGGCCTCCAGGACCAGGTGGATGTGGTCGTAGGTCCCCTGCACGCAAACAATGTCGCTGTCTTTGACTGAATCGAGGATGGCAATGTTTTCCGGGTTCTCCTTTTCCATGCGCTCACGGACCAGACGGTTGCTCACCTACAGCACCACGTGTACACAATAGAGAGTCGTGTTTTCTCTACCATCATGCTACAATGAGTGTGCCAAACGGCGTGCTTACTTTGTACGCAGCATTCATCTCCCCGGCACCAGGAGGGGAGGCCGCACTTGGCATCTGCAGCTCCTGCAGCTGCTGCTCCACGGGCACAGACGGCTCACTGGGATCTCCTGATAGATTGGCGGCTGGGGTCACGACGTTCTGTCCGGGTATAGCTAGCTAATGAAAATATTCCAGAGATGCCACTTTTTACCTCTGCCTGTTGTAGGGTCTGAAATGCTTCGTCGAAACTCTGGGGGTCCTCCGTCCCAGATCCATGGCTCAGCTGGCGACCAAACAGCACGGATTTCAGCCACTTCGCCATCTTCCTCGGCTCTCGACAGGCGTGTGTGTGGGGCAAGGGGAATGTGGGGTGGAGCTGCACCTGTGCGCGCCCTGTGCAAGATTGAGGTCAAAGGTCGCATGTAATCGCGGGAAAATTCCCGTTGCTCATGGCGGGCTCTGAAAAAACCACTGTAGTCCCGACAGACGACAGTTTCACTGTCCCGCTGTGCCTCTGGCAGAGAGCTGCGTTCCTCTCGTCTGCTCCAGGCCCCAGTACCAGCGGGAGCAGAGCTGCAGGTGGAGGACCTGGTAGCAGTGGGGGAGAGAGGGACTCGCTCAGACTGAGGATTGCACAGCTGAAACACGAGTACTGGAGAGAGTGAGTCTCATCTACTGCTCCTTCGTGCGTGCGTGGTGACTAGCAGTTGCCTTGCTTCCCCAGTGTATCCAGAGGCGTTCAACCACTGCACGTGGAGAGGCTGGCCCACTCACTAACGGAGAGTTACTGCACTGCTATGGACTCCAGCGACGGTAGAATGTTACGTCAGTGTAGCTATATAACTACTCCAGTATTTTCTCAAACACATGCACCAGGAGTGGAGAGTATAGCAGCCCCTGTCAAGGTGCTCACCGCCAGCCGCAAGAAAGGTAGTCAGATTAAGCAGCTCACGCTCGACTTACGTACCATAAAGAAAGGAGGGAGAAAGGAGAGTGTTTACTCCTTGCCCCGTGTGGTTTCTCTCAGAGAGTGGGCAGTGGAAGTCTGAAATTTCACTGGAAACTCTGCTCTCTTTTCCTGGAGTGAGACCTACTGACAGAGACAAAGTGTGTTCCCTCCTCCCTATGTTTCACGTCCTCATAATTATATAATCTTCCTCCGTTCAGAGTGTGGAGGAGCTCCCACTAGAGTGTGTTCCTGTGGTGTCAGACTCTGTCTCTGACCGCCAGAGACCCGACCAGCCACAGAACTCACAGGTCCAGGCCTCTTCCTCACTCACACAACCTCCTCCCCCACCTCTTCAGCCACACTCGCTAGTCCCACCACGGAACCACATTCAACTGCCTCTAAAGGGAGCAACTAGATCAGGTATATACAAACGCCTGCTAACCACCGTTTTACTGGCGTCGCTTTTCGTACTAGCTGGGAAGTTTCCCTATTCTGCTCCATGTTCTAATTCATCTGGGATGGTTGGAAATGGAAAGGGAATGGAGGGAGAGAGGAGACAAGAGGAGGAGGACGAGGATGATGATGACGATGACGAACCAACTGACAAAAGTAAGTACAGAGTAAAGGTTTATTCAGAGAGATACGGGGCATGCCAAGTTTCCACCCTTTCTCCTTCCCCTGGACTTCTCTCTTCGCCCCAAAAATGAGTCTTTCCCCCCATCTCGCCCAAAACTTTAGACGTTTCCCCCCTATCTCTTGCAGAGTTGCAGAGTATCTCTAGTAAATGAATGTGCTGTGTGTGTGTGTGTGTGCGTGTTTCAGGATGGGGTGGAAGGAGAGGGTACGGAGGGCGGAGGAGGAGGGCAGGTAAGACAAGTTGGGAGGCCAGAAAGAAGGCCAGGAGAGAGGAAGACGAAGCGACAGAGGAGCCAAAACATGCTCCAGCTCCATTCATTACTGCCAGAGACAAGCATGTGAGGGTGCATTTCCCCACAAACCTACTTTCCAGTCACAAATGTTTCGTTCGTAAAACTCAGTTTTTGAATCAACAAAAGAAGTACGGGGGACGGGTCTCTGAGAGCAGCAGGACCTCACAGCCACAGGCAATCAGTTACGGCTGCTCAAAAAAATCTCTCGGCACGAGGTACACCGTTACGCCTGTCGTACATACGTACATATACAATGAAATCTCTGAAAAAGACCCTCCGGATAGAGGACAGAGGACATACATAGAGATCTCTAATGGGCTAATACACCTCTAAATAAGGGGCACTACTAGGTGTTCCTTATTTCGAGATTTCACTATATGAACGTATAAATAGAGCTACCTGTGTGTACTATACGAACATACATATATACGCACACTCTCCCTATCTGCTGGTCTCAGGCGAGCTCCAGCGAGCAGGTTTGTCCCACCGGCACGTAGAGAGGAGGCGAGGGGGGAGGAGGGCCGTCGTGTCTGAGGAGCCGGGTTCAGTACGGTTCAGGACCCAGCAGCAGCAGTGAGGGAGGAGGAGCGGGTCTTCCCCCAGAGCTGGAGGGAGACGAGACACTCAGGAACATAGAGCCACGTATGGTCCAACTCATCACGAACGAGGTCTGTACTGTAACGAGCGGGAAATATTTGAGGGAGACACACTTTAATGAATTTTGTGGCTTGTGGAGCCTTCCGAAAAACGCAAAATGTTGTGGACAGGGACGTTTGTATGTAGTGCGGAACATTTAGCAAAATGTTTTCTCCGGAATATTCTAGAATCAATGTTCTCAGTCAAAGGTTTCAGTATTCCACTGGCCTCCAGTGAATGTGTGTGTGTGTCTTGTTAGATAATGGACCACGGATCTCCTGTGGAGTGGGACGACATTGCCGGCCTCCAGTTTGCAAAAGCTACCATCAAGGAGATTGTAGTGTGGCCAATGCTGAGACCGTGAGCCCCCACACATCACTATCTATCCGCTATCAGGCCTTTTATACTAACTACCAGACTCTGCACTTTCCATGTAGTGACATATTCACTGGTCTGCGTGGGCCTCCAAAGGGCATTCTGCTGTTCGGACCTCCAGGAACCGGCAAGACTCTCATTGGTAGGTGTATGTAGGCTGCACGGTACACAGTCTCTCCGTTGTGACTCTTCTGTCTGTCGGGTTGTTTGTCCAGGGAAATGTATCGCCAGTCAGGTGAATGCCACCTTCTTTAGTATCAGCGCTTCCTCTCTTACATCAAAATGGGTGAGTCTCCTTTTTCTTTTTTCTTTCATCGCGATGAACTCCCCTCCTCCCCCTCCCCCCCGCTCACAGATAGGTGAGGGTGAGAAGATGGTGAGGGCGCTGTTTGCAGTTGCTCGGTGCCACCAGCCGGCAGTCATCTTCATGGATGAGATCGACTCTCTCCTCTCGCAGCGCAGCGAGTCTGACCACGAGTCCTCTCGACGGATCAAAACTGAATTCCTCGTACAACTGGTACAGATGCATCTCTCGTCTCATCTTTAAAGGCCAGCGTGCAATTTTGTTGGTTACAATAGGCCTATCATAGCCACACATTGCATAAAATTGTGTATGTTTGTGTCAGTGAGTCTGAGTGTAGGTGTACTTAACTATAGGATGGAGCAACAACCAGTGCAGACGATAGAATCCTCATAATTGGTGAGTGCTATTCTGGCCTCAATAATGGTTGTAACAGTCCATGGCTCCCTGATTTCTTACACTTGACAGGGGCAACCAACAGGTATGTAGTACAATGGTCACCTGTGTATTGTACAGTGGTGCCGTGTTGACGCTAGGCCACAGGATATCGACGAAGCTGCCAGGAGAAGACTGGTCAAGAGATTGTACATCCCGTTGCCCGATGGGTCGGCCAGGAAACAGATTGTGAGCAACCTCCTGAGGGAACAGGCGTATTCACTGACACCAGAAGAGCTGGAGGAGCTCTCCACGACAACTGATGGTGTGCATTACATGTCCTCTCCTTCGATTTTTCCCTCTCTTTCTCACTCTCTCGCCCTCTGTCCGTCTCTCTATCAGGGTATTCTGGGGCGGATATGGCTAACTTGTGTCGCGAGGCAGCCTATGGTCCAGTCAGAGCGGCAGCTGAGACCATCCAGCACATCTCAGCCGATGAAGTATGAACCCACCCTATGTATATATATACCATGATAAAAACTCTGCAACTAGTAATTAGTTTTTCAAACATGGTCAGTCCACAAGTGCAGCACCAAAACAGTACCAACCAAAAATACCTCCAAAATTCTGTAAATAAATGTCCAGATGCGGCCGGTGCTCTACAAGGATTTCCAGGCAGCTCTCCACGTCATCCGACCGAGTGTATCGGAGCGAGATCTCGACCTCTACATCCAGTGGAATAAGCAGTTTGGCTGCGGCAAACACTGAACTAGTGGCACCCATCACTCTATCAAATCTATGATTGTATTTATCAAATCATTCTCATGATATAAAAATTGAGCAATTCATGATAGTTGTGGTATAAAAATCAGTGGTGGTGGGATGAAAGGACAGGCTAGTGTTGGTTCTCCAAGGTTTCCACACGAGCCTCCAGAGCTTGAATGGTGCTCCTCAGCTCAGCTGTGGCTCTGGCCACCTCTCTGACCACCAGCTCCCTGATCTCATCGGCAGAGAGAGCCCCTGTTATTATCGGTTCATCAGTTTCTGGAGTCCCCGATGCAGTCTCCAGAGCTGAAGACTGGGAATCAGTGTCGTGTGTACACGCACACACAAGAAAAGACCTCACAAACCTCTACAGTATGCTTGTGTCCTATCTGCTCTTCTTGTCTGTACAGAGAGATTCACAATACACTATAATTATACTGTACACCACTTGCAGTTGTGTTTCTGGAGACACTCACCCCTCTGGTCCACTGCCAGGGCCTATGAGTCTGCCTACGGCCTCCAGTAGTTCACCACAACTGCTATCAAACTGCCCATCGTCACTGAAGTCCATCCACTACAGAGGAAAGACCAGGATCCTTACTCGGGATATTTACCACACAACATGGTCTACCGTAGACCTGTCTTCTCTGGACGATAAGCTTGAGGCCAGGGTCCATCTCATCAGAATGCTGGTACTTGACCGTGACAATGGGCTTCTTGTACTCCTCAGCCAGAGACAGCTGTTCAAGTGAAGTTTAAAATCAGTATAGAAAACCAAACTCAAATACTTTCACAGATCAATGAAAAGTGAATGCGGTTGGCAAGCAAGCACGGGATGCTAAAAACAAAACATGTAATTTGAGAAAGGATTTCCTCAGTTATTCAGCATTGTGTTCTGTGTTAATCAAACCTCATCGTGGCAGTACTGGGAGCTGGTTGAGCGTGGAGTCATGACAAACACAAACACTCCGGAGTCCTGAACAGCACGAGATGCACCAACCACTCAACGAGAGAGGTAAGGAGTGGGAGTGGTTACGTGAATGCCGTTAGCTATCTCGGTCCTCCACTTCTGCCCAGCTCTTATCCCGGCAGTGTCGATCCACACACTGTAGCCACCATCATTCAGTGTCCTCTGAAACACCATCAAGAAAAACAACAAACACTTAAATTGATGCTACATTGGCCCATTGTTACCTTGATACGTAGGGCGAACTGTATATTGATGTGGGCATAGCTGAGGAACACGTCTTTTCTCCCCACCATCGACCGCATGTTCAGCCTCCGCAGATCTACAAACAGAAATCTCCACCTTTCTCACCAGCTATGCACACATACAGCCAGCAGACGTGTACATTTACCGTCAATCAAACTGGAGAGCTTTCTCTGGTCTGACACAAACTTCACTCCCAGACCTACACACACATCGGTACCAAAATGAGTTACGCTATAGATTGTCTCCACACACTCTCTCAGTACGTGCTTATGTATATACCTGACATCTCGGTGGGTGCCAGCTCAAGCAGGTGGAGTCCGCTGATCTCGGCATCTCTGAACGCCTTAACAAACTCACTCCTCCTCTCGAGAGGCTGCAATTACAACACGATTGCACTCAAACGGAGCATATTATTACACTAGGTGTGTGTCTAGTTGTTGGTGGACGTACAGTGTTTCCGTTCATCCAGAAACAGACATCTGTGGTGGACCAGGTCCCAGGGTCCGGGACCTCTCCACTAGCTCCCAGCCTCTCTAGCGTCTCTCTAGCCAGCCTGTGCCACAGTTCACAACATAGGAGACGAGAGAGAGAGGGAACACCAGTGCAGGACACATGGTTAGGGATGATGTACCCCACCTCTGTACATCTTGGTCTATGGAAAGTTTTTAACCAGGAGAAGTGGCTGCCTCCATTCGTCTTGAATACTGAGAATTAAACCAATCTCTAGCTGTTGAGCATACACCATCACAATTTATGCTGACCGGCTAGTGTCTTCAGTGTTGATGGCAGTGTGGAAGAGAATGGTGACACAGAGATGCTGGAGGTCAGTCTGCAGACTGCGGAGGTGTTTCAGGACCAGCAACAACACTCCCTGGCAGGAACATACCACACAGCTGGTGAGGTAACTAGAGAGCCAGATATTAGTTCTGTCATTCTATAACTACCTCATTGTCACTTAGAAGTAGACTGGCACTGTCTTTCTGATGCGAAAACTCAGCCAGTAGCATTAGAGAGCTCTTCAGGAATGGATCATCCTCCGACCGGCCAATGTATTTCTATATTAAAACCATGACGCCTGAAGCCACCTCAGATTCTATTGGGGTTAAGTTAAACCTTGGTGACAGCCAACACCTCCTTAGTCAGTGGCGGGAGAGCAACTGGGATCTCTGAATCACCACCGACCACTGACGCAAGATACTTGAGAGATAGCTGTGATACAAATCATCACCACCTTATTTTTACATTTCGAACGATACCTTTTGGGTCTCTTCACAAGTTGATACTACGTACTCCTCAATCGCTTCCCACCTGTGCAAAATAGGCAGAGCTTCGAAAGTGGCATGGTATTGTTAGCACTTACTTTTCATCCTGCAGCAGAGCTCTGAGCTCGTCTGCAATTTTCAACTCCCGCTTTTGCAACTTTTGTTTTTCCCTCAGCAGTGTCTCTCTCTCTGCCTCTGCAGCCTGCCCCCATCACAAGTAGTCAATCAGTGTGTATGTAGATGGTGTGAGACATATAATAGCCCTACTTACTTTAGCCTGCAATGTTGGTTCACTCAACAGACTGATAATCTCCTTGGCTTTCTCAAGTTGTTGCTGAAAATTCGAACAACATGTGCCCACATAACACCTGCCTCCACATTATGCCTGCGGCCACACTAACCCTTGGACGCCGTGTGTGAAACTCTCTTGTACTGTCCTGTGCAGACTGAGGCATTCTGCCCTGGGCATTGACGGTCCTTGCAAAAGACTCGGCACAAGTCAATTGAAACTCTGCAGAAGACTAATGATACAAATCTGTCAATGTGGGTCAATATGCACACAAGTGATTACCTTAGTTCCATCAGCTACTTGTAGTGGCGTGCTCCCGTTGTTCCTAGCTAGTAGCAACATTGGTCCACAGATGTCCCTGTACTCACGGAGGAGGTACTTGACTATCATAACTCCATCGCACATAGAGGCAGCTATGTGCATGAGTGTCTCTCCTACATTGCGAAAAAGCAGTAAATCATGCGTCTGTGATGGAAGGATTTCAATACCAGACACGGTAGCAGTGAGGGACTCAGGAGAGTGCTCCTTGTACTCTTTCAACAGCAGGGCAGTGTGTTCGTAGTTGCAGTGACTGACGGCTATGTGAATAGGAAGCGCCCCACGTTTACCATCAATGGTAGCTAGAGCTTTGGCCAGGAGTCCAGCAAACTTCTTGTAGGCTTGTACCACTGCCAGTAATATCGATACGTCCCCGGCTCGAGCAGCAGTGTGTAGCAAGGTCTCCTATCCAAGGTAATGTGGGTGTATAACTCAATGCACGGAACCATACGAGCAGGTGAACTCTACCTACCCCATCGCAAGTAGCTAGCAAGTCTCTCATCAGCACGCTGTTGGCCAGAGCGCTCGTCACGCTTATCATGTTGATTCCGACCGACTTCAGCCGCTGCAGTACCTCCTCTGTTGTTGTACAGCCCTCCCACTGCTGCACGTCCATTTCATCCATATCCTATCCGTCTAGGTACTAGGTGGGTCCAGAATAGTCCTGTTGCTTGGTGGGTCCGAATACAGGGGAAACCCCTAGTATCACAGCGCATGCGTATTATGCGCACATCTTCTCGTTACTATGCCAACCGCATAACATCGAGGACACCGGAGGTTACATGTGAGACGTCGAGAATGGAGAGCGGCAGTTGGCAAGAGTCGTTTCTCGTCCTGAGAGATTATTTCGTAGGCTCCAATGGCAGTAGCGATGCCGCCAACCCTGCTCACCTGGTCCTGTTTGCAGAAAACGCAGCAAAAGTGAGCTCAATATCTAATTGATGCGCACCACCAGTCATTTCTAAGGCCGCCGTCGTCTTATCCAGGAGGGGCACGCCAGTCTAGCAGGAGAATGTCTGGATCTGTACTTTAGCCTCAGCCCACCAATCAATCAGTTCCTGATTAGAGCCCACCTCTGCCGAGCTCTTGTTACAGCTGGTACCCCCTCTTTGGAACCAGAGGTAGAGTAGCTGGAGCTGCCATACGTTTCACTAGTTGTTTGGCATACGTTCTGTAGGAAGGATTGCAGAGAGCTGTGGAGTCTATTGTGACTGCTGTTGATATTGCTAAAAAGTCAGAGTGGTGCGTCATAAAAAACAAAGTCGATGATTTTCACAGTGTAAACCAGACCTCCTCTCTCCTCCCTCTCCAGCTATCATTTCCTGGTCCACAATGCCTCGGTCCTCCTGTGGCAGATCTGTCGACCTCACCGCAGGCCTGGCTGGACAGGTCTGACTGTGGGTGGTTGGCAGAGTGTGGCCAAGGCCCAGGAGACCTGCAGGGAGGAAGACCACTCTTGGAGACTCGATATTCTCCTGTGAGACACTCCAGGCAGTCTCTGTAGTGTACATACACACTGTGATTGCTGGGTGGTCCCAGTAATTAATGTGAACACTTGTGAACTTTATGTGCACTGCTCTGCATCAAGTTTTATTGGTGTGCAGAAGCTTCCATTGCTGTCTGGTGTTCTCACATACAACGAACTGTGTTTGCCAGGGCCCTGATGGAGAGTCAGGTGGACGCTGGTCTGAAGGAAGAGGCCGGGAAGACGTGTGTCTCTGCCCTCCAACTGGCCCGCAAGAGGCTCCCAGACAGACTCCTGGGTGTGGTGAAACTCTGCCTGTTCTACAGACTCGGGGAAGGGAAGAGCGCTGAAAAAGAGTCAAAGTCCCTCCCAGAGTTCCCTGTCGTGTCAAAGCTGTACAAACTGAAGCAGTAAGGCCCAGTGTGTGACCAAACCTACACTAGATGTCCAATGTTTCTCCACCACTGCAGTGACCTGTCTCAGGGGTCTCGTGGGAGGCAGAGCGAGGCAGAGTCCCAGCTGAGGAAACTGGTGGATACTCTCACTGCCAAGACACCAGCCAGGAAGACCCCTGGCCCCAGTAAAACCTCTCTACAAACTACTTCATCGCAGGAGAGCAAGGCAGAGATTCTACTGGAGATTGCCCAGGTATATATGTATATGTACATACACATCTCTGTCAATGACGGAAGCATGCACCAATGTGGTGCTGTGTGACTCTGTTTGTGTGTTAGGTGTGTGTAGAGCAGGGTTTTGTGGAGCTGGGAGGAGACTGTGTTGCAGGTGTACCAGAGGTGGCTAATGCGTCGCGGCTACAGCTCCTCAGACACATTGTCACAGCTCAGCTCAGCCTACTGAAGAGGGCAGCACGCCTCCCTCTGTACTCCAGAGCTGCTGTTCAGGTAAGCAGTGCATTTGTACCAGAACAAACACATTAATTTGTGAGAGGATGTGAGTACGAATTTTCAGTGTAGCTATGCAGTGTGGACATGCCACATGTATGAGGGGCCAAATTCATTAATCATTGATCTGAGCTTGGTTTAGGGTGGCAAAAACATTGATTGGTTTGAGTGGTTGCTGCGTATGTAGGTTCGTGAGGAGACGATGGCTCAGTTGGAGAACTGTCTGACAGCTGCCCAGAGACTGGGAGACCAGGAGCTGGTCCAGGTTTGTTCATTTTATGCTTTCCAACTCTCGCTTCTCTCTCTCTCATCTTTGTCATTTCTCTCTCTTTCTCTCTGATCATCTCTCCTTGTCGGCGCTAGCATGTGTGTGTGGTTCTCTGGGGAGTGTGTCTCCCGTTGCTTCAACCCAACCTCCGGTCTCTCCTGTCACACGTTCTCTCGGAAACTAGCCTCTGCTCTGGAGCAGGTGGACAGGTAATAATAATTAGAGGGTCCGACACACTGATTACAGTTCATCCCAGTGCCGCTTTTTCTGCAGTCTTCAGCATGGGCTGCGCTGTGGAGTCCACATGGAGCTGGCTAAAGTGTGCGCTGACCAAGACCAGCTACAAATGGCACTAGAGCACGTCAATAAGGTATATACAGCGACGGGGGATCTTCAACTAGAAAAGGATTCCTACTTGTATAATTGTGATGGTGTGGTAAACTTGTGTTGCTCACGAATGACTGTGTGATGTATTATGGCCAACATCATGTGGTGATTGTAGGCACAAGAGCTCGACAGAGAGTGTGAATGGAGTGAGGAGTTGATGTGGCTGGGCGAGAGACTCAGGCTGAGGTCTGAGCTCCATCTCACTCCTCCCTCCACCCTCCAACAGGCCACCCAGCTACTGGAACAGGTAACTCACAGATACACTGAAACACAGAGTGACAGTCGCTGCATATCTCTTGTTCTTGTGATACGTCACTGCCATTGCTGTGTGCAGGTGAAGTCGGTTGGCGGATTTGGTTCAAAAGAGGAGATGAGAGCAGTGTTGGCAAAGGTTGGGTCACTGTTGGCTCCCAGACAGTTCACAGTGGCCATTGGAGACAAGGCAGAGGAGACTTCTCAAACTGAGGGTGACACAGCAAGGGAGATAGAAGAGGGGGGTGGGGAGAAGGGGGAGAAGGAGAAGGAGGGAAAAGAACAAGAGGGGACGGAGGGGGAGGAGGAGAAGGAGGAGAAGGAGGAGCCTGAAACGACAGGGAAGGACGGAGAGAAAGAGTATCAAGTATTGAAACAACAAATTCAGGCCCATAAGATAGAAGTAGGGTCAACTGATGATGTCGACAGGTCAGCTCACTCGCCGACTCTTGCTGTATCTCCATTACTGCTCTATCCTCTACACAACAGGTGTAGGCTGTGGGCTGATCTGGCAAAGTTTGCCCGAAAGTGCCAAGTGTGGGATGTCGCTTTTGTTTCGGCCAAGTTCTGCCTGACATACGATGACAATAGGTGGACAGGTGAGGGCACCGACATAATGTTTTGCAAGTTTGATGCATTATGATGCTGTGTGTTGCAGTGTCTCCAGTGAAAACAGGCACCCAGCCTTCCAAGACGGGCTCCAAGTCAAAGCTCCAGAAGTCCAGTTCGGTGAGCGTGAACCGATCACGCAGCGACGTGTCGACTAGATCATCGTCTCTGAGTGTGGCGGGTGCAGTGTCTCTGGCCTCTGGTCCCGCTGCAGAGAGAGAGGCGGGGAGACAGCGGGGGAGAGAGAGACTCTGCAGAGAGCTCCTCAGAACACTGGCACAAACACACTTCATCCATGCTGAGGTCTCGCCCCCTACACATAATGCTAGTACACTTGTTAACTGATGTTGCTCCATCTTCAGTGTGCCGTGTACCAGCTAAAGGAGAGTGGGCATCATTTGGGAGATGGACTTCCTCCTCTATCTCCTTCCACTTCAGACCAGCAGGATGCAGAGAACAAGGACAAATTGTGAGCAAGACACAAAACACGAAATGCAATCACACATACAATTCCTACTGTCCCCTCTGGTAATGCAGGGTGGTGTGGCCTGGGAACCTATCCTTAGATGCCTACTCCAGTTTCCACCGTGGTGGGGATCTGGGTGTCTCTCTCGGCGAGCCCTGGCTGGTGGCCAACGCAGCCACCTACCTCTCAAACTACAGCCAGCATCTCCTGGAGGCCGGAGCTCTCTCGAGGCTGGTGCCAGTCTTCAGACCTCTACTGGACAGTTTGACTGCTGCCACACAGCTCCACACTGGATCTCACGACATGTCAGTGATCATCAGTATAGCATAATAGAGCACCAAAGTTTTGTAGGAGATTTTGGATTATCTGCAAAAAAATTTCCCCTCAAAAATTTGGTCATGTATACTCTTCAAGTTATACCAAGTTTTCTCCTGTACTAATTTCAGTGGTGGTGAGTTGGTGTGTCATGTGAGTACAGTCCTCGCTGGAGGCCTGGTTCAGAAATGGACCCCCTCACCTCCCGACCCCACCAAAACAGACCCCACATCCAAGGAGAATCTAGGGGGCCGAAAATCAGGTTAACTATATGGATATATTTGAACTACAACGACATGAATCAACCAGTGGGTCTATAGGTCGAGGGACTGCAACTGGGAAGAAGAAAGGAGGAGGAGGAGGAGAGACTCAGCTCCAAGTCTCCCCTGATGGTGCGCCGGAACTGGAGGAAGCTCTGGGGGTGTGTGAGAGAGGCCTGGCCCTGGCAAGAGACCTCCCTCTGGGTGTGCGGGCCCCTCTCCTCGCTGTGTGGGTCTGCTGCCGGCAGCTGCTCCACCAACCCATCCCCAGCAACACACTCGGAGTGGAGGAGAAGGTCCTTCACTTCACCCTGTCTTGCCCATCTGTAGCTAAATTTATTCTAGCTAGCTCACCTATATATTCCTTGCTGAATCTACACAAGGACTGGCTTTCTCTAACTTAGCTAGTATCTAAATCTCTAACTGGCTTTACTCCCAGCCTGTCTGGTCTTGCTCAGGCTGTCTATGCTTGTTCTAGGTGATTCTCCTGGCAAATCATGTATCAAACTGTAAGCAATTGCTCCATCAATTCCCGCAGGATGGAGAGGACGGTAGTGTGGCAGGTCAGGCCAGAGCAGTGGTGGCAGTTGAGATGCAGAGTCTGCTGGGAAACAGGATATGGGAGTTCCCAGACTCACCCACACTCAATGATGTGAGGCATACAAGGCTATAGGTGTAGACTGATCTGTCTTCCCTCTGTTTTCACTCCCTTCAATCCCCCCACTAACTGTTTACACCAATACCAGTGCTCACAAACAATACAAAAATTTCCGTGAACCATAATATTTCCTCTCTGCGTACATGTTGTTGCTTGTGTGTTGGATGCATGCATGTAGTGTAGTAATCATGGGTTTTCTTGTTTACTTGTTCAGACATTTGACATGGTGAGTTCCAGCAAATGGAGTGAGGAAGATTCGGTATTGGAGCTGGAGTTACTCACCCGCACTGCCAGACTTGCTCTGCTGCAGAAGAACTACACTTTGGTATGATGCCACAAGACACACACACGTACATTTTAATGACTCCTCCCCCTTTCCCTTCCTCTCCCTGGCCATCTGCATTTCCAACAGGTAGGTAAATGTGTCAGTCAAGCATTGGCTGGAGAGCAGAGCAGAGCAGGTAGTGAGGGGGCATCAGAGAAGAAGAAGAAGAAGAGGGGGAAGAAGGAGGCACAATGTGAGAGAGAGCTCCTCAGCTCCATCTGCTCGCTGCACGGCCAGACTCTGGCAGCTCAGGGAGCGGGGAAGACGGTGGCAGCCAGGGCTGCTATGGAAGCTTTCCTCCAGAGTGCAAAGTTCGTTCTCTTACATCATACTTTTTGTATCTCCAGACACTATTACAAAATACAATGCCTCTCCTTTGCCCTCTTACCCACTTGTTTGCAACACGCCTAGCACACTTCTCATCATGCAAATCTATTTAGTTGGGGACTTCCAAAGTGTGGCTGTAGCACAGAAGTATACACTTGTCTCTGTGGCTATGTATACAGGTATGGTAGAGATGCAGGGAGCTACCAACGTACAATAGAGGCAGCCAGACACTACGGGAACGTGTGTCGAGAGCTGACAGAGACAGCTCTTGACAGAGAGACTCTGCGACAACCCCTCACTCAACTCCTCGCCATCCTCACCTCCTTCCTACCCTGTCGCTCCTCCAGACACTCCTCAGGACAGGTACAATGTCACTGTATTTGCAATCCCCGAGTTAAATTACTTTGAAAGATGATTTCGAATGGTACAGTAACGATCATGAGAACTTAGGAAAGTTGACTGTTTTTGAGGTCTCTTGTGTTGTGTACTGTAGGAGGACGTTTGTGAAGAGGATTTGCAGCTGAACGTGGCCTTTTACAACATCCTCTTTCAAATCTACATTGACAAGGTACGAAATACTCTGCACATACATTTTACGAGAGGTTCAACTAGAATATCTGTGTGATTGGCTTCAGGGAGAGTGGGCAGAAGGTATGAAGGCGGTGGAAGATGCCATGTGGGCCACCCCAAGATCCATCCACCAGTGAGTGGTATACACGATGTACATTGGAAAACGTCCACCCTCTCCTTATCCAGGTGCTTGGCAGAGTACAAGCTGATATTCAAGAGTCGGATGGGGAAAGATGTAGCTGCAGACATGATCAGGTTTCAGGTACGTATTATTGTATAAACTAATTCACAAATCTTGCAACGAAGCTGGGAGTAGTTTTAGCGTGCTGTGCTTGCTCGCCAACCACGTCACCTACAGGTTTAATTTGATACATCTTCACAGGCCCAACAGAGTTGGATGAATACACACACACATACATACACACGTCAGTACTTAGATAGTGCTTCTCTACTCTGGCTAAGTGCCTGGCTGTCTCCCACACTCCCTCTCTCTGTGGAGATGGGCAGCGAGTGGCTCTGTCCATCCACACTCTGCTTGACTCTGAGAGACCTGTCTTTCCGTCCTATCAGCTTCGGTGGAGGCTTCTTCTGACTTTTGCCAGGCAGGTTTGCTGTCACCGCCAACCCCGTCATCTCTTTCCTCTCTCCTCCCTCTCCCCCGTTTCCTTCTCCTCCTCTTCCACCACCCCCTGCTCTTGCCTTTGCCAGACTCTCATACTGGCTGGGTTCCTCCATTGTTAGCGGACTCAGGTGCATATACCTCGGTGACTCATTAGCTCCAACATCAACAACTGTGAGAGGAGGACACATCTCCCCTATCTCATCATCTCCAGTCCCTTCTTTTGCTAATGGGAGAGGTTGGAAGTAGGAAGCAGAAAGGCATGGGGCACTGCTCCCGGTGGAAAAGTGGCGATTGTTCAAGTCTGTTGGAACATTGGGGCAGGTGTAGGTTCGAGAGAGTGACAGGGCGCAAGACAGTTCGCCGTAGCTATTGTGCATGTCGCCCCTCTCGTAACTGTTCTGATGACCTCTGTTCCAATCTTGGCTGGTCTCTCTCTGACTGCTGTGCTGGCTGAAGATTCTCAGACTAGCTGGGGTTACAGCTGAGTGACCATGTCCATGAGCACTAACTTCTCTCTCCTCCTCCTCCTCCTCTCGGTGTTGTGTACTGGGTGAGGAGTGGTTGGTGCGATTGTGCTTTGCTCTCGCTCTCTCTAGAGCCTGGAGACCTTCGTTCACTGTCTCTGCTGAATATAGACACACAGGCATAATATTAGTCAATGCTTGCTCCAAGTATGAATCATAGTATTATAGTCTGGGAAAATAAGGTGTTGCTACTGCCATTGTGTGTGTGTGTGTTTGGCTCACTGTGAATGGTGTTGATTCGCCGGCAGCTCCCGAGGAAGACCGGAGCGTTTCTCCTCTGCCTCCGTCTCCAGACTAATGCAATGGAGGCACCAGAACTGACTGCTACTGCTGCTACAAGTACCACCATCACACACGGCACTGCTATCACCGTCTTTGTAGTGTTGACGTCCGATCCTGTAGATAGAAAAATCCATACAACTCATGTACCCTGCATGTGTGAACTAGAACGAATGCAACACATTTTGACCTGTTAGCCACTCTATGTGATAATAACTATGCAATTCAGACAATTAGAGAGGCTTTCTTCGCTCACTTGTTGTACACTTCATGCTAGCACAAACTCTCTCCAGCCATGAGTATACTCACCACGTGGGTCAGTAGAATTGTTGTCTGCTCGGCTAACAGGCACGCCTACTACCAGCACCAGTAGTATTGTGACCACCACACTACAAAGACTCACTCCCGACATGATGCATATAGTAGCTCAGCGTTACACCCCTCAGCACTGACCGAGAAACCAACTACTGTATCAATCTCTGTACACACTGGTTTACTCTTGACCCTTTTATACCAGGCCCTGTACCGTTACACTGTAGCCGGAACAATAATAATAGTGGAATCCTTTTTTGCCTGCACATGGAAATGCCTACAAACTCACTAGGCACGAGAATGTCCCCCTCACCCCTATATGTGAGATGTTATGTAATCCTCAGCTGATTTTCCCCCATGGGAGCTAGTATGGTAAAACTTCCATTTCGATACAAATATATTATACACATACATCATCCATAAGTCAGATGACTATTACTATCTGTGTGTGTGTGTGTGTGTGTGTGTGTGTGTGCAGGATGCTCCAGAAGAAGAGAGGGCGAGACTGTGGTACAAGGTGGCGTGTAACTCCTCCCACCCTCGACTGCAGCTCACCGCCTTCCAGAACTCCATCAATACACTCACTGTATGTACTGCTGTGCTGCTCTCCCCTAAATTTAGTCTTAGGAGTTGAGATTCTGTGGAGGTATACACCAAGTTTTGCACATTTTGAAGTCGCAGAATCAATAATCAGTGATAGATACCGATGCCCACCATACAGAACACATGTATGTTTGGGAGAGTATAATTTTCAGATTGAGCACCTCCAAATTTTGGTGTGCCATATGCAGTGTGATTGTTTCGGTGCATGTGTTTTTGTTTGCCAGAGTCCAGAGTATGTGGTGGTGAAGATCGACTATCTTCTGGCTCTGAGCGAGTGGCTCTACTGCCACCAGTTCCCCGTGGAAGATGCTCTGAGTCACCTCCGGTGGGCTCTGGCTCTGCTGATGGACACAGTAAGGGAGGAGGGGAAGAGAGAAGTGGAGGAGGAGGAAGGAGGGGAAGATGGACGAAGGGAAGCTAAATTTGAGTGTGGTGTACTGGCAAGGGAGAAGGCCGTGTACATCCTGGTGATGATGGCCAAGCTGCAGGGTAAGGGCAGTGGAGGGCACAGGGAGAGCTGTCTCGCTGCTCTGGCCCACTGTTGTCTAATGTGGAAGGTGGGAATCGTGACCCACACCATGCTACTATCTCTGTATACATACATAGGCAATACTGGACTCATACGGCGGGTCTGTGTCTGACAAAGCCAGTGTAACCCTGCCATCATCAATACAAGAATGGGTTGACTTTACCCTTACTGACGAGGTATGGTACATACTTCATACAGTAGGTATTGCCAATCAATACTTCCCCTGCGTCTATACACACAGCTGAGAGACTTTGTAAAATCAGCTGAAGATGACTGCAGCATCATTAGAACACCAGTAAGTCCACCTCTGTATGTACCATACACAGTGGCCTAATAATACTGTGTGTACTCCAGGGCCTCACGTCCCACTGTCTGGGAGCTCTGAGTGACGAGTTGTGTGGCAGTGGTCTCCAGGGGTTGGCCCTGCCAGCCGAGACACTCAGACTCCTGCTGGTGGAGTCCCTCGTACAGAGCACCGCCAACTCACAGCTCATCCAACTCAGGTGGACATACATATACTGCATACCCTCGCCCTTCCACTAGTGATAGCAATACAGGTTGGCGACCATGTGTGATGTGATAGGTGCTCGGAATGCCGCCGAGGAGCACCGAAAGCTGACCGGACCAGTGTTTCTCAACCCAGATGAAATGGCCAGGTGATGCTTATACCACCTCTCTCTGTTACATGCGTACGTACATATACCCTGTGTGTAAGACCCCATTCACATGGAGCGAGGCGAACCCGGGTTTAAGTGAAACGTTAACGTAAGTGTCGACCAACCACCGTCTTATTTCACATGCACTGTTGTTATGCATACATGGTCTAATACCTTCACGTTACACTGGGTCGAACCCTGTATTAAGTTATGTGGGTGAAACATGAATGGTATCATACGCATGCAAAAAGGTGCTATACCCTCCATTCATGGCAGATCACGTGCTGAGATTGCCCACCACCAGCAGAAGCAAGAGATGGCCAAGACAGAGGGGTCAAAGGACAAATCCCCTGAGTCACTGGCTAGGAAGGAGTCGTGGTCTCTCTCCCACTCTCCCAGAGACCCGATGGGGAAACCGATCTTGCACCAAGTGTGGGTGGAGACAGCAGCTCTACTGGTGAAACAGGTAGGGTACAATAAAGGACCCTCTGAATAAAGGACACCTCCCTATGACACTTGGTTCTGCCCCATTCATTATTTTACCTCTGAATAAGGGACACTCCTCTGAGCAAAAAAATGGATATGCTTATCGAATAACACCTACTGTATATAGCCTCTGAGCCACATAGAAAAACTGTGTTCCCTTTTTTGTCTGCATGCACTGTGTGCAGGGTCTGTGGGAGGTTGCTAGGGAGCTACTACAAGAGGCCAAGTTATCCTCCCAGGTAAAGATATCACCACTCTGTTTGTATATGGCTCCGATTCGATCGGCATAGATTGAAAACTCACAACCACCTCACACACAACTAATACGGCATACTTAACCATAACATGGTGGGAGACTCACAACGGTGGTCACAGAAGTATGGGCATTGACCATACTTCTGACTCGATCATTAAACAGTCGTTGGTAACTTTCACTCAAATTTGAAGGACAGCACTATTGTATGTATACAGAAATCAGAGGGCCCTAACATTAAGTCACACCAACGGTATCTTGGTGTCACTGTTGGTGTATGTCTGCAGGTATTAGGAGACAGAGAAACTGATGGGTAGACTGCTGTTGACACAGGCCTCTCTGGCTGCGGCTGAGAAGAGAGTGGGTGACTGCATCACTCATGTCTGTGAGGCTCTGGTCAGTCCTACTACAACACAATAAAGTCTCCGTGGTGCACAATCTAAGTTTCTATCAAACACTTACCCCCTTTTGTCGTAATACTTGCCACGTGCCTTGTGAAAGTATTTGACTGAGTCCCCGTGTCCTGGCTGTGTGTACAGAGGCATCCACTGAGTCTGGAGGTGTGGGAGGAGAGTCTGGAGCTCATGTTGAAGGCGGCAGCCTCGCACCCGAGTCCCTCTCTCGGAAACTCTGCTGTGGCAGCAGTGGAGGGTTCCCTCGCCTCCCTCAACTCCCTTCTCCTCAGGAGGAACAGCAACGAGGCACTGAGGCTGGAGGCTGTACATGCCACACTGAGGGCCAGGTATAGATAGATAGATAGTAGGAGAAACGTGTGCCCAAGTGTCATCATGTTTCTGCTCAGATTGGTAGCCCTCAAGGCTCACATGATTCTCAGCTGCAGTGAGAAGAGCACGGACAAGCTTGAGCAACTCTGTCAGGTTAATTTGCGTAATCCATTGAAACCCTCATGGGGAAGGCGAGGTGGTATATAGTGTAACCGGTGTACAATTCATGTGACAGGAGATGTCTGTCAGTACGGGAGACTTGCTTCGGCTGGGAAGACGAGAGGAGGCAGCCTGTGTCATGCTGGACCATGCCAGGATCACGATGAGGTGTGCACAGCTCTCTACACTTAGACATTCTCACATTCTATCATTTTGCCTCTTTATCCAGAGCATTGAGTAGCTCCACTGATGATACAAGTCACAAAGCCAGTCTTCTAAGGGTATGTACAGTAGCATATAATTGTATCATGTACAGTATCCAGCTCTCCTTATTAAAACCCACAGGCAGTGGAACTGGTAAAGGGGGCAGTTGATACACTACAATCGATGCTCAAAGATACCCTTTCCTTGTGTCAACTACCTGATGTATGTGGTATTCAGCCATATGGACCGCAGCTGTCATTTGAATTACACTCTATCACTCAGGGTCTGTATACAGCAGGAGAGGGATTGCTAGTAGAGGCAGAGCTGGTGATGGCCAATTTTCTGCTCCATATCTCTGAGAGGTACGTGGAGGAAGAGAGACAAGAGAGAACAAAACAACAGCAAAAGAGCTACACACAGCAGGTATATACATATGTACCACCATGCAGTGGTGCACGACATGCTCACAAACCTCTACAGATGATTGATGATTATGTCAGGGTGGCCCCGGAGCACGGATCAGTAGAGGATGTATGGAACAGAGTGGCCAGGTTTGACTGCACATCCCTCTCTCTCTCTCTCTGTGTGTGTGCTGGTATCACAAGTCTCTTCACAGTGTGGCAGCAGAGAAGGCTCTTGCTCTCCTAGCATCCCTCCTCACTCGAAGTGCAGTCCAGTCTCGGGCACCACTGAAAGCCAGAGTAAGCTGTGTCCTCCACTCATATATACACCCTCCTTCACCATCATCATCACTGCTAGTGTGTGTATGGGAGAGGGAGGGCCCAGTTGCTGATGGCACGGCAGGCCAACCCAGACTCCCCCTGTGTGTGGAGACAGAGAGAAGAGGCCGATGGCACTGATGGAGTCCCTCAGACAGTGGATGGAGGAGAGGTAGTGGGGGCAGCCACTGCGAGCCAAGTTAACAGTATTTCACACCAAGAAGTCAAAGTAAGTTGCCACTCTAAATGTGGGTGTAGAGCCACCAATAATGAACACATTATTTTATTGACTTTAGGCCATATATTTCATGCATTGGAATACTAATTGAGATTTTGGATATACACTTTTGCCAGTTGTGTGTGATCTGTGTTTCTCCGTCTTCCAGATAGCACAGTCTGAGTCAGTCCAGTATCTGGCTCGAGGGTCTCAGTCACTGAGAGAGCCACTGACTCTGGCCCTCCAATCCAGAGACATGGTATGTACATTCACAGTGTCGACTGACCCACTCTCTCAGTGTCCATGCAGTGCCTCTCTATTCTCTGTCACAGAACGTTGCAGCAATGGCAGCGATGAAAATTGTGGAAAGTTGTGGAACCAGTGATGCCCAGTCAACAGCACTTCACCTCGCAGTCTACCAGGTAGTTATTGCAAGCGGGAGATAATGTACGAGCCCCTGGCACCGTATGTGAAATTGTGGTCACACACAGATTTCATGCACCGTTAGAAGTGTGGTGTGTACTGAGTGTCTTCGATACTGCACACGGTTCCCCTGCAGAGTTGTGTGGCGTCTCAGGGCTTACTCCAGCTGCTCCGGGAGATCCTGTGTGATCCATCACAGTCCAGACTGGCAGTTCTCCTGCACCAGCACTCACAGCTTACCTCCCCCTCTCCCCTCTCCCCTTCTCCCCCCTCCCCTCCTCCCCCTCCACTGCTGCTGGAGGAACTCACTGAACAACTCAACACCTACACAGTATGTGCCCTAGGAGCACTATTTTTGTGGCGCAGTATGCCCCTACCTACATACATAGTTCCTCAGTAATCCTCCACACTCACATTTTTAACCTTCTCTCTGCAGTGTTGGCATAGACTGGGAGTGAGTGCAGACTATATGGACCTTCTGAAACACTTCCCACCACACTTCCGATTCCTCGTACTGCAACACTCAGACGACAAGTACGTATAGTGTGTCTGCAAATGGTCCTCAATGTCAGTTGATGCGACATCACTCAGATCACATCTCTACTCTGCCTACCTCGTTCCACCTCAACCTCCACCTCCTGCTGCTAAAAAGGGCGGACCCCCACCCGTTGCAGGTTAATTAGCTGATCCCGAAGGTGTGTGGAGCCTTGCCTCTCTGCCCCACAGTCTCTGAGATGCCAGTGGTAGCTCGTGTGGCTGTGTCAACTGACGACAGGGAGAGGCTGGTGAATATGGTAGCCTCCAGTCACAGGCTACAGACCCAGCAGCTCCTGAAGCCGCTGGGCGACTCATCCGTGAGCTTTCCTTGGCAAACTTTATCATTATGTGTAATTGGTCGTTTTGTGCACATTTAGCCATTTGATTCCACGGTGAACCATCAGTTCAGCAGTATTAAAGAGGCAATGGACAACTACCTCACACCTGCACTGGAACCCATTTCAACTGCATTGCTGTATGCATTCATACTGACTTAGTACATTGAAAAACTTACTGCATTTCTTCTGTTGTAAGGGAGAAGAGTGATCAAGGGTTGACTGTTGTCCTGTTGGCTGACTTTGACTTGTTGCAACTACCTCTGGAAGCCATGAGTCTGCTGCAGTCTCAGTGTGTAAAGTCTGTTTCAAGAGATTTTTCACTTCAAATGCAATATCATCGAATCCAAAAATTCTTGGTTGAAGATGAAGGTGAGAAAATAGTTTTATCATATATGCAGAGTGAAAAATAAATAATGTTGGGCGAGATAAAAGGAGGGCCTGACCGGGATTTGAACCCGGGACCTCTCGCACCCGAAGCGAGAATCATACCCCTAGACCATCAGGCCAACTGGTGTAGGCTTTGTCGTAAATTATCTATAAATACTGTACCATGAACCCCTCGATTTTCCCTCAGCCGTCAGCGCAACGAAGAAAGGAAAATTCCAGCTCCAACCATCCTTCCTCCAGTCAAACATCACAAATTTCAAGTGTAAGGTATATTTCATGGGATTTATGCTTTTAAAAAGTCTTCTCGTTGCAGATATTCTGGATCCAAGATGTGAACTAAGCAATGACTCCGGTTTGTGTGTTTCTAATGCTCTGGTATATCTACCAGTTGTATGTTCCAACAGGGAATGAAGGACAACAACCAGCTTACAAGATTATGTCTCAGATAAATGCGTTTCCAAAGATAACATCAAAGTGGACTGGGCATAGAGGAACTACCCCTGAACAAGCCATGAGGTTAGGTGATTCTCAACGAAAATACACTTTCTCTAAGTTATGCACTATCTGTATATAGCTCAAGTCAGTGGTACCCTATTGTCGAGCAGTGCTCTGGATTTCTGTTTCTTGGGAGTGAACGGTTGGCAGCTCACTTTCCTCCTGGCCAGCTTGCCTCTCTTTCCATGCAAGGTGGTGTACTCCCCATAGTACTAGTAGGTCATTGACTGACTGCTATATACACTGCACTCAGATTGCAGTATTGCCATTGTCATGGACCACATGCACACACTGAAAAGTTCTCTCACACAGTCTAAGTTGGATCTACATAAGAGGTAAGCCATCTTACCTACACAAGGCTTATGTTTATCCCTAACAAAATGGCCTGCTACAACAGTAAAGAAGAAATAGAGGCAGAACAAAGCCTGCAGACTGCTGCTCTGCTGTCTCTGGCAGGAGTGAGCTGCCTCTTATCTCGACAGTGGAGCTCCACTGTGGACTCCTGCACAGACACTGTGTGCAACTTCCTCAAAAGTACCCCAGTTCAGTTTGCTGCAGTGCATTATGATTTGTGTTACTGTTTCCTACCCCTAGAATTATTGTCTGGTGGAGTCGGTGGTGTGGCTGACATGAAGTGGAGCGAGACCAGAGAGCAGAGCCAGCTGGTAACCGACTCAGACACTCAGGAGATGCCAAATGAACCCAGCAAAGAACAAAAGGACCATTCATCAGTGTTCAATAGTGTTGTGTACGGGCTCCCCCACCTTGCACTTACCCTCCCTACCCAATGAGCTTTGACACCGGCACGCCTTTTGTGCGCATGCGTATTCCGCCAGCGGAAAATTCAAATTGTCAAACGAAAACCGTCCCACGCGCGCCCACATCATCAGCACTGTGCAGAGAAAGGGAGCGATGAGCCGATATCACGATCCAGACATGGACACCCAGTCCCTCTCGAGCGTGTCCGGCGCCTCGGCCTCGTTCTGCTCGGCGGCCAGCGGCTCGTGCTTCTCTGAGGGAAGCAGTTTCGAGATCGAGTCGGAAGTGGGGCGCGACGCCCTCGTCCAGATCTGCTGCAGCTCTCTGTCTCGGCTCCTGGACTTCCCCGACTCCCAGCTGGAGGTTCTCCTTGGCTCGGACGACGAGCTGGCCGAGGAGGATGGCGGAGTGAACGTCGCTAGGTTGTAGCTGTACATGACACTCATCGTAAGAAACTTCATCCCTAGTCTTTCTGTAGGAACATAGCATCAAGTCTGAAGATGATGAAACGCTCCATTGGCAGTGGGCTGCATGCAATTTCCCACATGTACCATCACCAGCGACACCACCATCACCCTCAGGAGGTCTACACCAACACCCAGGGTAATAATAACAGCTCATTTAGCTACAATCCTATTATGAATCCTCCTCTTTCCTCCAGTGTCTCCGGGCCACCATCACCGACTGGTGTTTGGAGCTCCACTCACCAGCAGTGCTCAGATAGTCCTCCTCCAGATCATGGCCCACGTCGAGGGTTTCACCGGCCTCGAGGGAGTATTCCGGAAGTCGGGGAGCAAGCCGCGGGTGGACCAGCTGGTGCAGCAACTACGGGAGAAGGAGTTTGGGGAGATACTTCCCTCCGGCTACTACAAGCCACACGACTACACGTCGATGCTGAAGCAGTTCTTTTCCGAGCTCCCAGAGCCCCTCTTTCTGAAGAGGCACCTTGGAGCCTACATGCAGACTTCAGGTATATAATATCTATTTGCCTGAAATTATATGGTATGTTAGCACCTCTTACTTGCGCTAATCAGCGAAAAATTCCACCTGGCATCTTACTGACTGTGCCCCTCTTACTTGTGGCTGTAGATTTGGCCAGTCCGGGAGCCACCACCAAGAGCCTCCAGCTGCTGATGCTGATGCTCCCGCCATCCCACCGGATCGTGGCTCAGCACCTTCTCCAGCTCCTCTCTCTCGTAGCCTCCTCCGCCGCACGCAACAAGATGGACGCACACAACCTGGCGCTCGTGTTTGCTCCAACTCTCTTTCTCTCGGGAACCTTCAAAGCACAGGTATATATATATATATATAGTGCTCCATTATAGGCGGTATAAACCTAGCCATGGTGGTTGTATTGTGTGTATGTACAGGACTACTCCACGTCCGAGACACTGGACAAAGTTGTGTCGTTGTTGGAGTACACAATTAGAAACCCCCTTGAGATATTTGAGGTGAGTGATGTGACAGACAGAACTCCTACTGTCACAATCTCATATTATCCACAATCTCAAACAAAAGGTGCCACACGAGGTGCAGGTGGTTGCTGAAAGGTACTGCAAGAAGAGAGACACCACTCAGGTATATTTCAAGGGAGAAAGAAAACTCATGCATTTTACAGTGGAAATCATCGCCACCTATTATGAATCGTCAAAACCTTTAAAATTTTGGGGCTACAATATGGTTCTCAAATCTTGACATTTGCAAAAGGTTTTCTTCCCCGTTCGTTTTTTGTAATAGGCCTGAGTTTAAGGGAGAATAAACTATATTGTGTATCATCATTGTTTGTGTATATTAAGGAAGGTATGACCTGATACTTTGCTGCCACATCCAGGAGGAAGACATAGCCCTGGACATGTGCAGCACCTACTGCCAGCAGGAGTGTTCCGACGACTTCCACGCAGCGGGACAGCAGAGGGCAATGACAGAGATGGCCGCTCTCTACGAGGCGGTCAAGAACATGCCCGACGGTCCACAGAAATCCCTCTTCCTAAAGAAGGTACCCACACTCAATGTCTCTCTTATTATCCACGAGTGAAATACGAAAATAACAACCTACATAGTTTGAAAGCAAGTCTTCTGCCACGCCATCGTCAGTAAAGAAGTCCAAAACTAAAAGCAACAAGGTGTGTTTTTTAAAACATGTTTTAACACAACAAACATTATCTCCCTTGCCATTGCAGGAAAATCTCACCACACCGAAAGCACACTCAAAGAGCTTCAGGGTACACACAATACATGTTGAAACTACTGTTAACTATGGTATAAATTCCCCACCAGGGTATTAGCAAGTCCACTAGGAAGCCTCCTCCACCACCAACAGCAGCCCTACTGCTGCAGCCAGTCTCCAAGACACCCTCTGCTAAGAGGCCCTTTCTCAGACAGGCAATTAACTTTTACCCTCTTTTGTAGCTTGACTAACGGATGGTTCTACAGGTTGTGCACACCCCTAGGCAGCAGACTGCTGCCACACCTGTAGCTAGCTCCCTACTGCTGCAGACTCCCGTGAACCCTTCCAGACTAACCTTCACATCAATACCCACCATGTCTCCTATGGTCACTGATGTATGAATATTTTCATGTGCGCAACTGCGCATGCATTGTCGTGCTGCCGAAGCGCTTGGCGCTTCGCTCCTCTGATGGTATATACCCCTCTGATCTCCTAGTTAGCTAGCTAGCTATATAGCTCTCAGCTCTTTGGTGCGCATGCGTTCGTCTGACTGCAACGCCACACTACTAGTCGGACCTCTTAGTCTGGAGTTAGTTGGGGGCATACTTATTTAGGCACCAAAATACTGTTGTTCGGTAGTGTTGCGATTTTTGTTACGTTTGGCGTTTCATAGCATACGGTCGCGACGGGTGTTTACGACGAAAATGGCTAACATCGCAGTGCAAGTTCCGTCTTATGTGAAACTGGACCAGCAGCAGACACCCCGTGCCGACAGAGACAATGAGCGAGACTCTCCGCTGTTCTCTCTAGATCCGTCACCGGGGTCTAGTTTCAACAAAGGGAGCACTTTCCTGCCTCTTTTTGGAGCAGCTCGCAAGGTGAGAGAGACACGTTATGCGGCGCGGGTGATGCCGTGCAAAGATCCCACTCCACTCGATTATAGGCGGCACTACCGATGATAGCAATGTCTGCAGTGGGATGGATGCTCTTCGTTCTGAGCTTCGGCATCTACAGAAACCGGTAGGTATTATATAGCTATATACCTCAAAGAGCAGACGGTAGATAGCTAATGTTTTTCTTTGTACCAGGTACATGTACGTTGGATCCATTACAGATCACCCCGAGCTCTACTGGGCCTGGGCTGCCTGCATCGTCGGCCCCGTGGCCTATGTCCTCGCGCTGATACACGCCGTCATGTGGAAGCGAGCCAGCGCTGCCATTGGCTCTGTGGTATCCTACACTCTAAGACAACAACTACTCTAACCAACCATGCTTGCAAAACCCCCCCTTCTGCTAATCCTGCATGGTCCAGTTCATAAATGCTCCTATACCCTATACCTTGGATTGCAGTATCTATCTATGAATGCATGCGGCTGCACACAGTATAGGTTGTGGCCTTGACCTTTTGGCGCCCAGACTGCTCTCCTGGGCATGGTGTACACCGCAACACTGGGCTATGCTCTCATTACTTGCGGGATCTACACCTACGAGGCTGTCAAACACAGCGACGAAGAATTCTCAGAGTACAGCGCGTACCCCGAGTTTGTGGGCCTGATGTTGGCTGGTAGCTTCCTTGCCTGCTTCTTCTGGGTACGTTTCTATAGGGAGCTTACTGCATGTCTAAGACTTTGACTTATGCCCCATTCTTTACGATGCTATATAGGACCATCCCATCACATGACAAAATCACGACTGATGGGTTGAGCGAATGGTTTTGTGTTGACTTGTGTTTCAACTGTTGCAGGGTCTGACAGTAGCTCTATGGCCATGGTACACAGACGGGACAGCAAAGGTGTCTAAAACTTCAGACTACTTGCAATGAAATTAGCGCCGTTTAGCCCAGAATAACATCCCCCACAATCCCGTTTACTTGTGTACACACACACAACTTTGCACACAGAGAAGACACTTTTTTAGACTTCTGTATGGTCACTGATAACATATTTGCACACAGAGTATTATCATTGCTATGCCAACGCAGGCCTGTTTGTTCTGCTGAGAATAGTAAAATGCACCATGCGTACCAGACACACACACACGATGCCATTGTTCTCCTGTTTATAAAATCAGTGCTTAACTGAAGTGATTTACTATGGAGCACTGCATCAGTAATGCAAACTGTGACATTGAGAGACGGGGCTATATGGCTACAGTCAGAGGGTGCATAATTATTATGTGATCATGACGGGGTGTGGTTAGTTCTGGCCTGAAACACGTGGCCAAGAGCTCAGTTTTTGTCTTGAAGTCACTAACTATCTTCAGCATTCTGAGAAAGAGAGAATGGGTGGGGGGAAACCGAGATATAATAGAGGCAGAAGAATAGGAAAGAATGGAGATGGTATTATAAATATAGAGGGAATGTAAAAAGAGAGACCTACTTATCTTGGCTTTCAGCATCCAGTGTGCCCAAATATTCCTTGCATCTCTGAAAGCACTGGCTGTGAGAGGAGTTTGTTTTATATAAAGGAGGAAGCTCTCTATTTATGGCCTACCGAGTTTCGTCGACCACGTAGATGGTAAAGATGTCTTCGAGTGTGGTTACCTCAACAAACGCCTGCAAGTATATTGCACGGGAGGATGATGGGTTACAAAAGATGATGGGTGTCTTCATCCACCTGTCTATGTGTACACTTACGTGGAGAGCACCGCTGTGTAACTGAATTGCTCGACTTCCTTGAAGATCCTGTGGATTTCCTCTGCCACTAGACCACCAGTCTCTGCAGGACCCCTCTCCACCAGGCCGGGGACACTGTGAACACCTGCACAACACACATCTCTTCAAATGGTGGTATATATATATATCTCATGCAAAAATTAGCTACCAATAGACGATGTGCATATGGGTGTTGGGCATTTTGCTGGGAATCATACCCACTAGATGGACAATATACGTATACGAGCAGCCAAAAGTGTAAACAGCTCCAGCCCCAGTTTCACTACGTACACAGTCACCGCAGAATGAAACAAAAACTGGCCAATCACAAGAAAAACAAAACAAACCCATATTTAGGTCATTGTTGTCATCTCTTGCCCTTCATATATACTCGCCTGTACATCTCATCTGGCAGGCAGTTGGGCAGTCAATTGTGTCAAGTGCCAGCATGTTATACAACAGCAGCCTCCCGTGTGCCGGATTTTAAGCTCACCTCGCAGTGATGGTGACAAGAGTCAGAATGATCTCTCGTATGTAGCATCGGACGTCCGCGAGGCTCCTCCTTGCAGACGTCCCAGTCGAAGCGCCCGTCTTCATGCCTGCTCTATGGCGTCTACCAGCACCTCGCTCTTGTGCTCCATGTAGTTGTCAAAGAGTCGCTGGTCAGGTCCATCATACCTCCATCATCACCACCTGACATCAGCGGGAGACTCTCATATTGACACTATATATAGGTCGCTTTGCATTGCAATGCAGCTCAATGGGAATGTGTCCGGTAAATCAGGAGATAATGTTCAGTAGGCCCAGTGCAAGAATGCAAGTTTGTTTTGATTCGCAGAATTAGCCATTATAATATAGCTGGCACATTCTAGACTAGTACTATTCTTGCTGCAGCCTCTGTCTCAAGATGTAAGCATATGTGCTTAGAAATATAATGTAACATGACTTCTTGCAGGAGTATTATCAATGTTCAGGGAGAAAATTTGTAAGATGAGAGTCCTCAAAGTTTGAAAGGGACTTTTTAACTCTTCGCTGACCCCACTTTCTACTGTAGCTTGCCTCGTTGATTGTGGACAGGAGGGGTAGCCTTGGCTCATGAAGCAGTTGAGAGACGAGGGATCACCTGCTCCCCTGTGTAAAGTGTATTTTGCTCATCAGACCACAGCTGCTGCCGTCTGGGGACTGGGGGTCCGCCAACACCACAACCATCGCTAACCCTAACACGACTGTGGTAGTAAACACCCCACATGCAGGGATCCTTTTTCGATGGTGGAAAGTTTTGGCAATCCAGCAGCAAACCAAATTGCAATCCGATTTTAAAAGTATACCACCCACGAATCTGGAAAAACTCTGCGAAGTTTTGCCCTCTCGAAGTTATCCCGCTACAAATTATGGTAATAGAGATCATTATGTCAAACCATGTGATATGTCACAGCAGCTTCGTCCACTGACTATTGCTCTACTTAGTCCCGGCTCCTTAATTATAGTGGTCTGGATAACTGCTGCATCACCTGACAGTCATGTTTCCACGACGCTGTTTCGTCAGTATCATTCCTCCTGTTGGAAGGCCCAGGTACTCGACAGCCAATGAATTGCTCAAAATCTCCAGAACATAGGACACTCATAACCGCCATTCGCCTGTGAAGAACGTTTAAAACACTGTAGTCCACTGTATGTACAACCAGAGGCGGGGACTGAATGTGGCGGTTTGGCATTTCTTTGTGGAAATTGTAAATATTTAGGCTGCTTCGTGCAAAAAGATTGTCAAATAAGGAAATTCATTGCTACCAGTAATGTGTCAGTTTTAGGGGACATTCCACCCATAGCTGACTCATGTATCATCGGGTATGGTACATACCTCCACCTCCCATAGAGCAGTAATGTTCGCACAGAGCAATCCCATCCCAGAGGATCAGCACTTTTCCTGAGCGAACAGGTGGTATCATTAAGTGCAATCAGGCAATAATTAGAACCACAATTATTGCTATACACACAGCATTTGCCTGGATAAGCAAACAGTCAGCCTCTTTCGATCTTTTAATTATTTAAAATTATTTAATTGGGCATCAATTAGCAGCACATCCCTCCGTTTTACAAACACACCACCATACGGTATAGAAGGGGTCTAGGGGAATTGAATGCAAATTGACATCCGTGGTATAATTATACCTAAGCCACTGTTCTATGAAGATATTATTTTCCCTTGTTACTTCATATAAGACTAAGTTTTGAGTCAAGGAATTTCGTTGTTGTTTCCCCAATGCATAGTTGTAGCCATAAGAAAAACAGGTTTATAACATTGTTTACGGAACTAAGAACAAGGAAAAGCTGACCAGCAGTTTCTGACTCAAACTTAGTCTTTAGCACAAAGAAACTGACCATTTTCAGATTTTCTTTTCTTTTTTTCTTCAAATGGTTCGCTTGCTGCCCACTAATGGAAACCTTAATATTCAGTCTCAGAATTCGAGGACGAAGAAACGATCCATCGAACAACGACGCTATAAGGCATTTAACATAGTGTTGTACATATTAGTGAATGTGTATATACCTGTGTCTCTCCGTGGTGTGTCGTCAATAACTACCCTCCTTGAGAGTGAGGAGGACTCCACCACAGGTTCTCAAGAGAATGGGGAGACTCGTGACCGACCCACTCTCCTCCGCATGGACCTTCCAGTCTCTCGCTCGTGGAGGCATCTCGATATCTGAGAGAGAGAGAGGGGGAGAGAGAGGAGGGAGAAGAGGAGAGAGGGAAAGGAGACCCATTACCAACGGAGAATATCCTCCCTCTCAAAAATTACTCATCCCCACGCAACACCTTGCCCTTTACTCAATTATTATATCTGGGGGTGTGCTTTCCCATACATCAACAAAGGGACATGCCACCATTGCATCTCAATCCATTTGCACACAGACCAAAGCGTAGCGTTTAAGCAAGTTTACCACCGCGCAACACACACACACGATACTGTACACTCTGCCAGCGCGGTGGAAGAGAGTGTCCACGCAGAGTGTCCTGACGTTGATGGCAAGGTCTGAGTCATCTCCACAGCTCTCTCTGGTAGAGGCAGCTTCTGCAGTGATCCCAACACACCCTGAGGGGGAGAGGCCAGCATGCGTGTCTAACACCAGAATGTGTGCTTGTTCGAAATGTCGAAGTGAACAACAAGAAAATCCCAGATCGGTAGCATAATAAAGTAAGGAACAAGATACAATCGAGTTTTAAAAATCCCACATTGTATACAGGACAAAAGATTGCTTGTTAAGATGTTCATGTTACTACTACCAACATTCCCACGTTCACTACCTGCCACTGTGCCACAAGTGGGTATTGGACCGCTGTAACGTAGCGTTATACACAATGCACATACTGTAGATTCTCCTTGTTATGTACATAGGTAAAAAGAACATTGTGTCTGCTTGCTATATAGCACTGGCAATAAGACTATAGACAGAATCAGTAGAAAAGAAAACCTCGAATTTTTCGCGGTTCTTGTCGCAGTTCTCCTGCTGGTTTCGCTGTCTCTCGGCAACCATCTGCATCCCGTGGAACAGAGACCCCGAGACGTAGGCCTGACCCAGCTTCCAGAACTCGGGCAGACTCTCGGCCATCAGCTCCGTGATCTCCTCCACGAAGAGGATCCGTTTGGGAGGACCGACCTCGCTGCGACCGCTGGGCATGTGCCACTCCCCTGTCACCGTCTCTGTGGTCGGAACGTGTAGCAAGAGAGGAGGAAGAGGAGAGGAGGGAGAGGTTGGTGGGTAAGGTTTTTTAAATTCAATATATTGACAAGTAGACATGAAATAACTCACTGGCATGGGGTCGATATGTTGATGATGGAGTGGCTGAAAGGCAGGAGAGAAAAAGAAAAACTTGACAAAGTCTTTCTCCCAAGAGTGACAGAGAAGTGAAGGGGCCCTCTTACCTATTCCCTGGGACCCAGATCCAGTACTGATGTAGCTCACGTCTGATACGGTTCTCGAGTGGCCCTTTCCCCTCACCTCCAGCTCTCCTCCCCTCCCACCTCCTCCGTCCACCTGGAACCACAGCAATAGCAATACACAGAGAGGAGGGGAGTGAGGGGGAGAGTGAGAGATTGTCTCTAATACTCATTGTAAAATCTTCATCCTCACGCACTCAATCAACAATATTTTTGTGCTGTAAAACGTTCACCCCTAAAAAACCAGTAAGCAGCACACTCCCTCACCAGATCTGTTGGCGGCAGAAGGTGCAGCTGTGCCGTGGAACTCCTCCTTGGAGCTGTAGAGGAGTCTCAGGGTCCACTGGTGCATGTTGGAGAGGCAGTCCCAGGCAGGGTCTCCCTCGCAGTCCAGCTCCAATAGAAACCTGTGGAGTCACAGTGCTTATGTAGCTGTTCCAAATGATATTTATGGCTATGGCGGGCCATTGATGAGTGGGTGTGTGTAGAGTGCCGTCGGAAGTCTCGCGTAAGTCTCGCGTAAGTCTCGCGTGCACTAGGTACCCGGCCCCACCTCTCTGGGCTTGCTGCGAGCTGACAAAAAATGTTTAGTGAGCGATGTCTTGTGCGAGGTATAGTACGGTTTGTTGTGCACTTACTGCATATGGCTTTGCGTTGATAAAAACTGTGTGAAGCTGGCACTGAGCGGGTTTTCCGGGGTACCCGTGGCGCGGGTTGCAACAAAGACGGTCTGCGCAGTTGTAAACAATTTTGGCAGCTGGCTGCGCGAAGCTGCCATGGTGATATATAGGTTATACTAGCTGCGCGTCAATGGAAATACGCGATTTAGACGGCACGAGGGGCCCTGAGCTGTAGTAGCTGTCTGAGCGCAGCGAAGACGCTACTAAGGGCTCCGAGGCCGTCTAAATCGTGTATTTCCATTGACAAGCAGTATAACCTGTTTAGACGGAGGCCGTGCCGGCCTTCAAAATCGTCCAGGTCCGCCGTCTTCCGAAAGACTCGCTCTTGCCGGGGGAAGCTAAAAAGGTCCTCAGTTTAGTTTCTTTTTGCATCGTAGAGAGGCCTTTCATCGAAGAAGCATCGGATATAGCGAGTTTGAAGTCGTCGCGGCGAGCTCTCAGCGACAGAGCGAGTTTATTTGCGCGGAAGCTTGCCACACCCCTATCGAAGACGCCATTTTTTTGCGGGCGTCTCCATGGAAACACGCACTTGGAAAATACGGGATTTAGAGTCCACGTTTTACGCAATCTGATTGGTCAATTTGAATCTGCCGACGTCTAAGTATAGTTAGTGTTCATGTTCTTTGCAACCATTGAGCGCTGTGTAACGTCAGGATTGGTAGAAAACCCCATAGCAACGAGTCCACAAAAACTACACGTATACGTTGCTATGTCCCGCGATTACAAATTTATGGCCGGCCAGCACGCGCGCGATAACGTCCGCGCGGAACAGCCGGCCGTGTAGTAGAGTTAGTTAGTTGGGGGCATCAAAATACTGTTGTTCGGTAGTGTTGCGATTTTTGTTACATACGTTTGGCGTTTCATAGCATACGGTCGCGACGACTTCAACTGGTGTTTACGACGAAAATGGCTAACATCGCAGTGCAAGTTCCGTCTTATGTGAAACTGGACCAGCAGCAGACACCCCGTGCCGACAGAGACAATGAGCGAGACTCTCCGCTGTTCTCTCTAGATCCGTCACCGGGGTCTAGTTTCAACAAAGGGAGCACTTTCCTGCCTCTTTTTGGAGCAGCTCGCAAGGTGAGAGACACGTTATGCGGCGCGGGTGATGCCGTGCAAAGATCCCACTCCACTCGATTATAGGCGGCACTACCGATGATAGCAATGTCTGCAGTGGGATGGATGCTCTTCGTTCTGAGCTTCGGCATCTACAGAAACCGGTAGGTATTATATAGCTATAATTATGTACCTCAAAGAGCAGACGGTAGATAGCTAATGTTTTTCTTTGTACCAGGCACATGTACGTTGGATCCATTACAGATCACCCCGAGCTCTACTGGGCCTGGGCTGCCTGCATCGTCGGCCCCGTGGCCTATGTCCTCGCGCTGATACACGCCGTCATGTGGAAGCGAGCCGGCGCTGCCATTGGCTCTGTGGTATCCTACACTCTAAGACAACAACTACTCTAACCAACCATGCTTGCAAAACTGCCCCTTCTGCTATTCCTGCATGATCCAGTGCTCCTATACCCTATACCTTGGATTGCAGTATCTATCTATGAATGCATGCGGCTGCACACAGTATAGGTTGTGGCCTTGACCTTTTGGCGCCCAGACTGCTCTCCTGGGCATGGTGTACACCGCAACACTGGGCTATGCTCTCATTACTTGCGGGATCTACACCTACGAGGCTGTCAAACACAGCGACGAAGAATTCTCAGAGTACAGCGCGTACCCCGAGTATGTGGGCCTGATGTTGGCTGGTAGCTTCCTTGCCTGCTTCTTCTGGGTACGTTTCTATAGGGAGCTTACTGCATGTCTAAGACTTTGACTTATGCCCCATTCATTTACGATGCTATATAGGACCATCCCATCACATGACAAAATCACGACTGATGGGTTGAGCGAATGGTTTTGTGTTCATTTGTGTTTCAACTGTTGCAGGGTCTAACAGTAGCTCTATGGCCATGGTACACAGACGGGACAGCAAAGGTGTCTAAAACTTCAGACTACTTGCAATGAAATTAGCGCCGTTTAGCCCAGAATAACATCCCCCCACAATCACGTTTACTTGTGTACACACACACAACTTTGCACACAGAGAAGACACTTTTTTAGACTTCTGTATGGTCACTGATAACATATTTGCACACAGAGTATTATCATTGCTATGCCAACAGCAGGCCTGTTTTGTTCTGCTGAGAATAGTAAAATGCACCATGCGTACCAGACACACACACACGATGCCATTGTTCTCCTGTTTATAAAATCAGTGCTTAACTGAAAGTGATTTACTATGGAGCACTGCATCAGTAATGCAAACTGTGACATTGAAGACGGGGCTATATGGCTACAGTCAGAGGGTGCATAATTATTATGTGATCATGACAGGGGTGTGGTTAGTTCTGGCCTGAAACACGTGGCCAAGAGCTCAGTTTTTGTCTTGAAGTCACTAACTATCTTCAGCATTCTGAGAAAGAGAGAATGGGTGGGGGGAAATGGAGATGGTATTATAAATATAGAGGGAATGTAAAAAGAGAGACCTACTTATCTTGGCTTTCAGCATCCAGTGTGCCCAAATATTCCTTGCATCTCTGAAAGCACTGGCTGTGAGAGGAGTTTGTTTTATATAAAGGAGGAAGCTCTCTATTTATGGGCCTACCGAGTTTCGTCGACCACGTAGATGGTAAAGATGTCTTCGAGTGTGGTTACCTCAACAAACGCCTGCAAGTATATTGCACGGGAGGATGATGGGTTACAAAAGATGATGGGTGTCTTCATCCACCTGTCTATGTGTACACTTACGTGGAGAGCACCGCTGTAACTGAATTGCTCGACTTCCTTGAAGATCCTGTGGATTTCCTCTGCCACTAGACACACCAGTCTCTGCAGGACCCTCTCCACCAGGGCCGGGGACACTGTGAACACCTGCACAACACACATCTCTTCAAATGGTGGTATATATATATATACTCATGCAAAAATTTAGCTACCAATAGACGATGTGCATATGGGTGTTGGGCATTTTGCTGGGAATATACCCACTAGATGGACAAGTATACGTATACGAGCAGCCAAAAGTGTAAACAGCTCCCAGCCCCAGTTTTCACTACGTACACAGTCACCGCAGAATGAAACAACTGGCCAATCACAAGAAAAACAAAACAACACCCATATTTAGGTCATTGTTGTCATCTCTTGCCCTTCATATATACTCGCACTGTACATCTCATCTGGCAGGCAGTTGTGGCAGGTCAATTGTGTCAAGTGCCACATGTATATACACAGCAGCCTCCCGTGTGCCGGATTTTAAGCTCACCTCGCAGTGGATGGTGACAAGAGTCAGAATGATCTCTCGTATGTAGCATCGGACGTCCGCGGGCTCCTCCTTGCAGACGTCCCAGTCGAAGGAGCCCGTCTTCATGCCCTGCTCTATGGCGTCTACCAGCACCTCGCTCTTGTGCTCAATGTAGTTGTCAAAGAGTCGCTGGTCCAGGTCCATCATACCCTCCATCACCACCTGGACATCAGCAAGGAGAACTCTATATTGACACTATATAGGTCGCTTGCATTGCAATGCAGCTCAATGGGAATGTGTCGGTAAAATCAGGATTAATGTTCAATAGGCCCAGTGCAAGAATGCAGTTTGGTTTTAGTTTCGAGAAATTTAGCCATTATAATATGCTGGCACATTCTAGAATAGACTATTCTTGCATGCAGCTCTGTCTCAAGATGTAAGCTATGTAGCTTAGAAATTAATGTAACATGACTTCTTGCAGGAGTATTATCAATGTTCAAGGGAAGAAAATTTTGAAGATGAAGTCCTTCAAAGTTTGAAAGGGATTTTTACTCTTCGCTGCCCCACCTTTCTACTTGTAGCTTGCCTCGTTGACTTGTGGACAGGAGGGGTAGCCTTGGCTCATGAAGCAGTTGAAGAGACGAGGGATCACCTGCTCCCCTGTGTAGTGTAGGTTGCTCATCAGGACCAGCAGCTGCTCGTCTGGGGACTGGGGGTCAGCCAAACACACACACCATCTAACACTAACACTACTGTGGGTAGTAAACACCCCACAGCAGGGAATCTTTCGAGGGGGGAAGTTTTTGCAATCCAGCAGCAAACCAGAATTGCACCGATTTTAAAAAGTATACCCACCCACGAAATTTCTGAAAAACTCTGCGAAGTTTTGCCCTCTCGAAGTTATCCCGCTACGTTATGGTAATAGAGATAATTATGCTCAAACCATTGTGATGATGTCACCAGCAGCTTCGTCCACTGACTTATTGTCTCTACTGAGTCGGCTCCTATATTATAGTGGGTCTGGGATAACTGATGCATCACATGACAGTCATGTGTCCACTTACGCTGTTTCGTCAGTATCTTCGTCCTGTTGGAAGGCCAGGTACTCCAGACAGCCAATGAAATGCTGCAAAATCGCCAGAACATAGGACTACTCATACACACCATTCGCATGTGAAAGACTTTAAAACAGCTGTAGTCACTGTTATGTACAACCAGAGGCGGGGACTGAATGTGGCGGTTTGGCATTTCGTTGTGAAATTGTAAAATTTAGGCTGCTTCGTGCAAAATGATTGTCAAAATAAGGAAATTCAGTGGCTACCAGTAGGTGTCAGTTTTAGGGGACATTCCACCCATAGCTGAATCATGTATCATCGGGTATAGTACATACCTCCATCAGAGCATGTAAATGTTCCACAGAGCAGTCCATCAGAGGATCAGCACTTTCCTGAGAGAACAGGTGGTATACATTAGTGCAATCAAGGCAATAATTAGACCACAATTATTGCTATACACACATGCATGTGCATGGATAAGCAAACAGTCAGCACTTTCGATTATTTAATTATTTAATTATTTAATTGGCCACAATTAGCAGCACATCCCTCAGTTTACAAACACACCACCATACAGGTATAGAATGGGGTCTAGGGAATTGAATTGCAAAAATTGACATCCAGTGGTATAATTATACCTAAGCCAACTGTTCTATGAAGATATTATTTTCCCTTGTTACTTCATATAAGACTAAGTTTTGAGTCAAGAAATTTGTTGTTGGTTGCCCAATGCATAGTTGTATGCCATAAGAAAAACAGGTTATGAACATTGTTTACGAACTAAGAACAATGAAAATGCTGACCAGCAGATTTCGTGACTCAAAACTTAGTCTTACACAAAGAACTGACCATTTTCAGATTTTCTTCCAAATGGATTCGCTTGCATGCCCACTATGTGAAACCTTAAATATTCATTCTCAGAAATTCGAGGACGAAGAAACGATCCAACGAACAACACGCTATACATTAACATAGTGTTGTACATATTAGGTGAATGTGTATATACCTGTGTCTCTCCGTGGTGTGTCTCAATAACTACCTCCTTGAGAGTGAGGAGGACCTCCACCACCAGGTTCTCAAAGAGAATGGGGAGACTCGTGACCGACCCACTCTCCTCCGCATGGACCTTCCAGTCCTCTCGCTCGTGGAGCATCTCGATATCTGGAGAGAGAGGAGAGGGGGAGAGAGAGGAGGGAGAGAGAGGAGAGAGGGAAAGGAGACCCATACCAACGGAGAATATCCTCCCTCTCAAAAATTACTCATCCCCACGCAACACCTCTTGCCCTTTACTCAATTATTATCTGGGGGTGTGCTTTCCCATACATCAACAAAGGGGACCATGCCACCATTGCAATCTCAATCCATTTGCACACAGACCAAAGCGTAGCGTTTTAAGCAAGTTACCACGCGCACACACACACACACGATACTGTACCTCTGGCAGCGCGGTGGAAGAGAGTGTCCACGCAGAGTGTCCTGACGTTGATGGCAAGGGTCTGAGTCATCTCCACAGCTCTCTCTGGTAGAGGCAGCTTCTGCAGTGATCCCACACACACCCTGAGGGGGAGAGGCCAAGCATGCGTGTCTAACACCAGAATGTGTGCTTGTTCGAAATGTCGAAGTGAACAACAAGAAAATCCCAGATCGGTAGCATAATAAAGTAAGGAACAAGATACAATCGAGTTTTAAAATCCCACATTGTTATACAGAACAGAAGATTGCTTGTTAAGATGTTCATGTTACTACTTGTACTACTACTAACACAATTCCCACGTTCACTACCTGCCACTGTGCCACTTTCTTAATAAACACAACTCTCTCACAAACACACACTCGCACCTTATCTCCCTGACGATCTGTGGAAGCCACGCCCCCGAGGTGTCGGCCAGGCCCTCCTCGAAGGCGGCCCACTCCCCGAGGTTTTTCCGGCGGACTTCGCTGAGCTGTTCGTAGGCCTCCGGGAATAGGGAGCAGTTGACCATGTCTGTAAACACCTCCACCTTCTCCATCAACATCTTGTGCTGAGGGCGAATGTGAGTGAGAATAAAGTGCACTTTTCACTAACGACATATCCTTGAGAACCAAAAAGTGGGTATTGACCGCTGTAACGTAGCGTTATACACAATGCACATACTGTAGATTCTCCTTGTTATGTACATAGGTAAAAAGCATTTATAAGAACATTGTGTCTGCTTGCTATATAGCACTGGCAATAAGACTATAGACAGAATCAGTAGAAAAGAAAACCTCGAATTTTTCGCGGTTCTTGTCGCAGTTCTCCTGCTGGTTTCGCTGTCTCTCGGCAACCATCTGCATCCCGTGGAACAGAGACCCCGAGACGTAGGCCTGACCCAGCTTCCAGAACTCGGGCAGACTCTCGGCCATCAGCTCCGTGATCTCCTCCACGAAGAGGATCCGTTTGGGAGGACCGACCTCGCTGCGACCGCTGGGCATGTGCCACTCCCCTGTCACCGTCTCTGTGGTCGGAACGTGTAGCAAGAGAGGAGGAAGAGGAGAGGAGGGAGAGGTTGGTGGGTAAGGTTTTTTAAATTCAATATATTGACAAGTAGACATGAAATAACTCACTGGCATGGGGTCGATATGTTGATGATGGAGTGGCTGAAAGGCAGGAGAGAAAAAGAAAAAAATTGACAAAGTCTTTCTCTCAAGAGTGACAGAGAAGTGAAGGGGCCCTCTTACCTATTCCCTGGGACCCAGATCCAGTACTGATGTAGCTCACGTCTGATACGGTTCTCGAGTGGCCCTTTCCCCTCACCTCCAGCTCTCCTCCCCTCCCACCTCCTCCATCCACCTGGTCATCTACAGAACCACAGCAATAGCAATACACAGAGAGGAGGGGAGTGAGGGAGAGAGTGAGAGATTGTCTCTAATACTCATTGTAAAATCTTCGTCCTCACGCACGCAATCAAAAATCTTTTTCGTGTTGTAAAACGTTCACCCCTACAAAAAACCCAGTAAGCAGCACACTCCCTCACCAGATCTGTTGGTGGCAGAAGGAGCAGCTGTGCCGTGGAACTCCTCCTTGGAGCTGTAGAGGAGTCTCAGGATCCACTGGTGCATGTTGGAGAGGCAGTCCCAGGCAGGGTCTCCCTCGCAGTCCAGCTCCAACAGAAACCTGTGGAGTCACAGAACCAGTGAAATGAGAACAGTTTGCCCATGCATTATATGTAGGTGACTGTGACTTGCAGAGCCTCTGCCACCACCTGCGATACAATGGCACCCACTTTTTCAAACATATATACATGTTTTTGAATCGTGAGCGGTAGGGGGAGATTAGAAGGAAATTCAGATGCTGTATATATGCACGTACTTTATGAGTCTCTTCTGTTCCTCTAGTATGGAGGGAAGCTTGAGGAGCTTCTTTCTGAGGTCTTCTCTGAACTTGGCCAACTGTTTCTCCACTTCCTCCAGCACTATAAATCAGTCACACAACAACAACAACAACAACAAGCTGACACCTAAATCATCATACCAATCGCCAACCTTTCTTGAAGATGTTGACTTTCGTGTCTGCAAAGAGTGTCTTTGCCTTGTCGTAGTCATTAGCCACTATCTCATACTCCCCCTACAACAGAACACACAACAAAGTGCCACTTTGCAATATGCAAATGGAGCGACAGGTCCCTTGAGGGGAGTTAGACTAAGGTACATATGTAAGAGGGTTTGACACAGTACATCTCATGCATAATGCATAAGCCCATAGTTAGGAATGGCTTTTTGCACAAAATGAAGCAAATCTCAAATACACTGAGAAAGGGTTTGATCTAGGATGGATCTCTCTCACGTTAACATTAGACTGAGGTGGTACCACCCCCCACCCACCACCCCTGGCCTATTGGAACTGGGACACCCACAATAATCAACGAGTGCTGTGGTAGTAGGTACATATGTGCTCACGCTGCTGATATTCTTCTCGATGGTGTGTGGGAGGTTGAAGAGGAACCTGTAGCGCTGGAGGACGGTGAGGGCAATACGCGTCTGGTCCGCACGCGCCTTGCAGCGGAGGACGTCTCTAAACAATACCTCACCTGATTTCAGCGCCACTGCATGCCAGTCACAGGAGAGAGAGAAGAGAGAGAGAGAGAGAGAGTTACACATCATGCAGTACAGAACATGTGTGCATTCACATTTAGCCAGATACTTGGACCACAAGGTTGCAGATGCTGGGAAAACACACTTTTTTTCAAAGAGAAGAGAGCTACGTATTGGTTGGACTCAAACCCTGTGACAGCCTGGTTTCTATAGATGCACGGGAATATTACGGACTTTATGCACCTTTCAGGAGCTCCTCGACGCGGTCCGTGAGTGAGCCACCTTGACTTTCACTCTCGTTGCGAATCAGCAGCTCGTTCACATGTACACACACAACCACACACAGAAAGTCAAGGAAAAACAGCAACAAAGACGATAGCTAAAGTACAAGTCTGCATACATTACAGGCTGGAAGGATCTATGCATACAGTAGACGCTGGAAGGATCTATGCATACAGTACAGGCTGGAGGATCTATATAACTGGCTGGAAGGATCTATGCATACAGTACAGGCTGGAGGATCTATATAACTGGCTGGAAGGATCTATGCATACAGTACAGGCTGGAGGATCTATATAACTGGCTGGAAGGATCTATGCATACAGTACAGGCTGGAGGATCTATATAACTGGCTGGAAGGATCTATGCATACAGTATAATTATATAACTGGCTGGAAGGATATCTGACAGAGTCTGGTAGCAGAGCAGAAAGGCGTCCAGGTTGTCCTGCATGAACGCAACAGGGGCGCATTCGCTCTCTTTCACCTCTTGCTTCAGCTGGTTCCGACCAGTCTTTAGATCCTGTGCCCAGAACAACCAGGTACAGTACACATCACACGTGGACTTACACACAGCACTCCTGGTGTATGCATAGAGTGTAGCACTGTTGTAATAGCTCAGCAAAGATACAAACATTAATCACTGCTGTGTGAGTGTGTGTGATTTCAGACCCACGTCAAAGGTGCTGAATCGATGTCTCTCCAGGAGGAACCAGGCTGGGTTGAAATTCTCTGCCAGCAGATCTCCACTCCCTACAGCATAGTGATAATACAGTGTGTGTGTGACTGTGTGTGGAAACGATGCATACATATGTATCTCCACACTGTCAGAGGATGTATGTTCAATATGTCCAGGCAGACTTCAAATACCTCCTCTATATACCAATTGCTCATTTACACAACATAGATACATGCGCTTTAGAGTATGTGTTGGGCCAGCTATGTACTGTAAATATCAGCCAGCTGAATAACAAACTAATAATTGCCTGGCCCAAAGATTTAAAAAAATGAGATGATTGCTCTGTGTCCAGATTAGCCAGGTCTTACCGTGAGGAAACATGGTTCCGAGGTTCTCACGGCCCAGTTTCTTCTTCCCCCCGGCTGAGGCGGCACTGGGAGGTCCCAGTGGCTCTATCTTCCTGCGAGTGTAGACTGGAGTCGGGGGTTTGGCAGAGTAGGTCACCAGGAGGTTCACGTCTTCTTCCTGCCACACCGCTGACTCCTCCAGTGGATCTGAAGGGGGGAGAGGAGAGAGGGAGAGAGAGGGGGGGAGAGAGACAGAATATCTTGCAAGAGTTGGAGGTGTAGCACAGCTATTTCCATACCAAGTTTAGGAGTGGCTTCTCTGGCGTGGCCATAATAGGTGACGGTACAAGTCCCGGTACCACCAGACAGTGTGGTGATGATAATCTGACTCCGCCCCTCCACGTTGGGGGTGAGGCAAAACAGCTTCTTAGAGCTGAAGTACTCCAGGCTCTCCTTGCAGCTGTGGCCGCCAATCTTTATGTCTGTATAGCAGAGTGAGTCAGAGAATACGTCATACAGATCTCACGTGCACCGGGAAAGGAGATACTGTGTGAGTGAGAGAGGGAGACACACCCAGTATGTCCCTGAGGGAGTCTCCGAGGTTCTCTCCTCTTATGGTCAGTCTGGTCCCCGGCTGGCCTTCATTAGGTGACACTCCGCTCACCACGGGACCCTGCGGTCCGATCTCCATCTGCGTTTAGGCGTATACAGCTGACAAAGCACAGCGCAAAGTTTGTTGTAGTTGACTTCTCTAATAAAAGCACACCAACCCTCGAACAAGGCGTGGCTGGTGCGCATGCGCACAGGCGGGGGAAGAAGAGCTAAGCTGCACAAGATGCCGCCAAAAACTGCAAGGAAACTGAAAGACAAGGACCACGAGAACAGTCCGAAGATATCCTCCTTCTTTTCCAAGAGCCCTAAACCCGCCGGTGTGCTGAAAAGGTACGATATTCGCAGCTCTTGTACCTGAACATGCGCCATCATGTCTACACACAAGAGCGCGGGCTGCAGACGAAGATGACTCCCCTGAGCCCAAGAAGACCCCGTGGGCCTCACCTACCCCTCTCTCCCCGACCCAGTCGAGCTCAGCCGGCGGGCAGCTGTCCCCAGAGCAGCTGGCCCGGATGGAGAAGAAGAAATTGGAGGCAGGGGCTCGACTGCTGGCCAAGAGATTGGGAACCTCAAACATCGGTCCTTCCTGGGTCCAGGCCCTGCAGGCTGAGTTCAAGAAAACCTACATGGAGAAGGTGTGGGTTCTGCATCATGCTATATACTGCATGGAGTATATACTTGGCCTCCTGTTTACAGTTGATTTCGTTTGTCGCTGCTGAGAGACTCAAGGGCAAAGTGTATCCTCCAGGTTTGTTTAAAATGTTCCAGTGTTACTGGTATTCTTTGTTGTCTTGTGCAGCGGATGATGTGTTCACATGGACCACTGCCTTCCCAATCAGTCAAGTAAGTGGAATATATACTGCCTCTGTGCTGAGGGATAGGGATACTGCAATTTCTTCAGGTGAAGGTGGTCATAATAGGCCAGGACCCATACCATGGACCTAAACAAGCTCATGGTACATAATATGTTAGATACTGAGTTAACATTGATTGAATGGTCTGTTTTTGTATGCACACAGGACTATGCTTTAGTGTGAGGGTAGGGGTGCAGATACCACCCAGGTATATGAGTAGGGCAGATTCTCCCTGCTGTTTTCCCACTGGTATAATGTACAATGCACAGCTTGAGAAACATGTACAAGGAATTGATGCAAGACATCGACGGGTTTGTCCCTCCCGATCACGGCTACCTGGCTGGCTGGGCCAAGCAAGGTGAGAGAAAAGAAGAAATCTCGGCTGTCGTTGCATGTGTGGTGAACCTGCAGGGGTCCTGCTGCTGAATGCCTGTCTGACTGTCAGAGAGAGGGAGCCAAATTCACACAAAGAAAAGGTGAGAGAGCCACTGTATATACTATCTTCCTGGTGTCTCTCTTGTGCCATTAGAGTATGGTGGTGCACTGTATACAGTGGAACCTCTGAATAATGGACAAGTTGTTGGGACCAGGAATTTTGTCGTCTATAGGGAGGTTGTCCTCTCGAAATAATAGAAACGTGAATATTTGGGACCCCACAAGTGTGTCCATTGTCCTTTATCAGAGGTTCTAGGGAATTTTCCATTTGTTTTTAGGGATGGGAGAGACTGACAGATGCTGTCATCCACTGGATCAACAACCACTGCGCCGGAGTCGTGTTTCTGCTGTGGGGAGCCTATGCTCAAAAGAAAGGAGCTTTCGTCAACCAGGTATATTATTATATAAGACATCAATGACACCCACCAAAGAGTCCTCGTTTGTCTTGATTTCATTTCCAGAAGCAGCACTGTGTGCTAAAAACGGTGCATCCGTCCCCGCTGTCTGCCAGTCGAGGATTCTTTGGCTGCAAGCATTTCTCAAAGGCCAACGAGTACATCAAGAAGAATGGAGGGAAGGAGATTGACTGGAAATACCTACCAACAGACCTACAACTGTAACGACTGTCCCTGAGAGACACAGCCGTGTTACAAGTCCTCATTTATAGTTACTCTCTATGTATACATGATCATCTTCACTATTCATCCCGTAGCTCTAATGGACTCCGACAAATTATGCTTCAGATTTTTTTCACAAATTGAATCACGGGCTATGCAATATTGATTCTGTGGCAATAGATCTTATTTTGTCGAATTTATCAAGTTGGATTGTGTGAAAGGTGATGCTGAACCTGGGCTACCAATTCCAGTAACATTGGCTCAGTTCTGTGCAGTTCTTCCACTGTTCTGCCGAACTCAGCCTGAAGCTGTCGATGCAGCAGCATAACATAATAATGTGGAGAGAACTACATAAACAGCACACACCGTTCTTGGTGCATGACAATAGCAACAGCATGGAATTTTTAGACAGATTTGTACACTCACCTCAGCCAATTGTGGACTGCTGCTATCGGCCACCTGCTGCTCCAGGGTCCTCTTCTTAACTCTCATTTGGTGATATCGCCGCAGTTCATCTCTCACGTGAACTATTCTTGATCTCACTGCTGGATCATCAAGACCACTTACTTCCCCTCCTTTGGTTGTCACTCTCTGGCCAGCAAGTGCAGCAGTGGGTGGTCCTCTGTGAGCAGAGGCTGTGTCAGACGTGGGTCTATTACTGCTGAAGGCTGAGGGTGGTAGGAGTACTGGTCTAGGAGGGGACAATGACTGTTGGAATTCAGTCTCTGGAACACGAGTGACTGGTAGTGGTCCCTGGCAGAGTCCTCCCACAGTATGTGGATCAGAGTGTTGGACTTGCCAGTGATCTGACGGTGGTGATGATAGTACACTGACTGTTGATGGGAGGAAGGTGAAGGAGGGTGCAGTCAGAATACCGTCGCGACCTCCCACTCTCTGCTCTGGCAGTCGTCGGTCGTACGGTACAGGTGGGGTAACGGGGTGGGGTATGTTACTCCGGGGGATGAGGTCAGAGTTAGGAAACTGGGGTGATAGTTTACTCTGGGACTCCAGGTATTCTGGTTGTCTGGGCTGCGGTCGCTGGCGTACAGAGGCACTTGGTATCTGGTGCTTCCTGCAGGATAATCGTATATACCTTTGACAGAAGAACCCTCAATTAGAATAATAGAAAACCATTATTACTCATTGCAACTGGCCACCTTGCAATGGTGGTCCATATATCTTGTGCAGCTGATGCTCGGGTGCCTGTTTGCTGCCTTGTTCTTATGGTGGTAGGCTGCGTCTGAGGATCATGGCTCCTCCCTTTTCTGACCCCATCTCTCCACCTCCTAGCACACCGTCTCACGCACTGCATCACACTCTGAGTGACCTGAGCAACAGCAACATTTTATCTGCACAATGTCATATTTTTGTAGTGGACGTACCTGTGTTTGGTGCTGCAGTGCATATTCCGCTCTCTGAGCTTGCATGCTGGTTGCAAACTAGGCAAAGATAAGGACACGGGAACTACACATACACTAATACGCACAGTGTGTGCAGGTCCACGTCTGTACCTCGATCCATTGCGTCACTCCAATGTGCAGCAGTCGACTGCGGTATCTGTTCATGGCTTGAGCATACCGCTCTGCCTTTCTCTTGCGGTTCATCACATACATCAGCCAACACACCAGAGCCTGGAGATACAGATGCGGTGATTTTGTTTATGCAAACAAAAAAACCGCATACATACCTTCCTCTGGAGGCTTTGACTCCAGTGCCAGAGAGCCAGCACTGACTTCTGCTTCATAACCACAGCCCTCATCAACTGCAGTACATACATACATAGAACTGAGTCACATCCCTAAACACAGCTATTATGTCCTCCCAAGTGGCTTCCTATTAGGGAACAACAACCCTCAAGCAAGGTCCCATGGTGTAATGGTTAGCACCCTGGACTTTGAATCCAGAGATCCGAGTTCGAGTCTCGGTGGGACCTCTTTTTTCTCTTATTTTCGTACCTCCACTCTCCACTTTGCATAGAAGGTTGACACCAAACGATTTCTCAGAAAGTGGGAACACTGCCTCCCGAGCAACTGCAAGTGAAGACTGGTTCTGCACTACATTCTATAGCTAGCGGCATGCAAAATACAAGTCAACAAAGTATTTTCTAACGTAATACTAGCTGTGAAGTGTATTCACGGACAGGTGCTGACCATTTTCCGGAGGGAGAGTCGGTAGTGGCTGTGCCAGGCAGTGAAGCAGCTGTGGAGGAGGCGGTGATGAAAGTGGACAGTTGCCCTCTCCCACACAATCCTCCACGCCACACTGCTGTTGCTGTATTCCCTCCAGCTAGTCAGCACCCTCACCAGTTTCCCTGTGCGTTGGTTTGAGAGAGTCAGTACTCGGACAAGTTCAAGATATAACCACTGCAAACTATACATAGGCCTAAAACTGCTGTCTCCTTACTTTGACAGAGTATTGAGGTGATCTCTCGGACTCTCTCCCTCTCTCTGCGGGCAGTCTCGATACTCACAACTGTCTGCTCCCTCCACCAGTTGAAACACTACAAGGACCAAGAAATTTTGGTGGGTCACATTTTGTAAGAGTGAATAAATTCTCTTGTGCATCTTAGTCACTCATTGTAATGTAATACAAAACATGGAGATCCACTTGTCTTTTCTTTGGATATCACAATGTGTGATGAGGTATACTATTACCTTGGCATAATAGCCTTCTCAAAGTGGGCGAGGGCCGTTTCCTCCAGATCACGCTGAAACTGGCACCACTGGACATTCTCTCTCCACAGCCTCAGGACACTCCTGGAGTGACGACATTGATCACCATTTCATGTAGGGTGAAACCCTGTGTTAATTAGTCTGTGGATGAGATGAACATATACTAACCTCTCCAGTGAGAGAGAGTGGAAGAGCTCGGCTGTGCTTCTCTTCTCCTTCTTCTTCACCGCACAGCAGTGGTGAACCTTCAAACATTGATTAGCTAATGCCTATCATAGACTTACACGAGAACCCAATACCTGCCACCCTTCAGCGTTCTTTGGAGCAGTGTTCCGTGGTAGTGGACAGCGCCTCGTGCAGTTTTTGCCTTTTTCGCCCTTCGTCTCCCCACATACTAGGAAGAGAAACGTGCCACATCTCAGATATAATACAGTGGGGTATATACTGAATATATACCGTGCAGACCTCCTGCCAGGCATTCCAAACGTGTTTAATTGACTTGTGAGCGTGGTGTCTCTGAGCGGTGGAAAACTGCCGGACCGACACTGCACAACGTCGTCTGCAATCCCTCCACTGCCTCAGAGCTGACGAGAGAAGCCACCTCCGATGGTGCACCACTGCTGAGTGCTGCGGTATGTAGAGTACTAAGAGTAGGGTCGTGAGCTCTGGTTCTGTGGTGCTGGCAAACCTCAAGACCTAGCTGCCGGAGCCTCGAGTCAGTCTGCACTCTCCATCTTCCGAGACTTGCTCTCTTTACCACCTCCTCACAGTGCAACACGGCCTGGACACCACAGGTGGGTGGACATGTACATGTACATACTGCCATAGGCTAACTACAGTCAAGGTCTAAGGTATTCATGTATGTATGTGTATTTATGTAGGTATGTATGTATATATGTATGTACCTACCATTTTCTCCATGGCATCAGATCCCGACTGACGTGGAAGGTCCTCCACCACTGGTAGAAGGCCATAGAGAGCAGATTCTCCCTGCATGTGGAGAGAGATACATAGGTATTCCTCTTTCCAACATTTGTCACTGCTGGTGAGTCACCGTCTGAAACTCTGAGCCTGGCAGAGAAGCTCTCTCTTGTAGCTCCGGACACCCGCAATAGTCCCTCAGAACAACGAAACACCTGAAAACAACAACAACAAAACACAACAACCCACTAGTTGTCGCAAAGATTCTATCTTTCTAAACTCACTTTGGCAGTGCAGTAGACTTGAAGTGCTGGTCGGCGAGTGCTATTTGGGTCTTTCGGCGTCGCCTGAGCAGCACAAATCTCTTCCACGTTGGGAAGAACTGTCTCAGTGAGCAAAGCCTACAACACAGTGTCGCACCTGAATGCACTACAGTAATTGTCTGAGAGTTTGTACGAACCTGAAGTGTTGTCTGGCTCGCCTGGTGAAAGGGAGCATCTTTATCTCCTCGCAGTGCTCACATCTCTCCAGCCACTGTCGCCACCCATTCCCCAGCACCTTACCCACAGCACTTTATCACGAGATTTCATCATGAGTTCTCACTGACTTTCAGACGACGGAATCTCTCGGCAGCAGTCTTGTGCCGTCTCTGCAACTGCTGTCTCTGGGAGTATGTTCTAAGACACGCCACTGCCTTAGACTGTCAAACCCACCATACAGTGTTTTGTGGTACACACGGATGCCCTTTCAAAACAATGAGGAGAGACAGACCTTTAGAACCGTGTGGTAGTGAAACGTGGCTATTTGCATCAGGTGCTCCTTGTAAAAAACCAGCTCCATATCTTGAAGTATAAGTCAAGAGCAACTTCATACCAGACATGATAGACAGCAGTACATTGGCACACACTAGAGAATGATTGGCTATATAAAAGGCCATTCTATATGCCATAATTTCGCAACCAACAAATTTAGGAGATAAAAAAAACTTTCACGGATGACTCAAGTCAAACTGCGAGATTCACAAAAAGCCCTCAAAAGTTCCATGTGGTTGTAGATACAGTGTTTCCAGTAAAAGATGACTCGCCTGGCGACGGCCCTCCGTCCCCTCTCCTCCACCTGCTCCTGGAACTGGGCCAGGTCCCTGGCTCTCTCATGTCTCTCCTGCCAGGTGGTCAGCACTCTCCTCAGAACACACCTGCTGTACCGCTTCTCTGCCACCTCTGTACAATATTATGATATCCAAACCTTTTATCAATTCAGAGTTGCTTGTGAATAAATCTCCTTTTTGTGTTCACATGGATGCTTGAGAAATGCTACCGTTCATGTGCCTTTTCCTCCCCCTGTACTCAATGTATGTGGTCCATGCAGTCCAGCAAGTTGCCTTCTTTCTCGCTGCCCAGTGCCGCTCTGCTGCAGTCGTCTTCTCTCTCTCTGTCTTCCTCTCTCTGCACTGCTCCACCCAGTGCACCCAAACCTGTACACAACACACGATGTCATACACTGGGATTGGCTATACTTTACGGGGAAAAATCATCCAAGAGTACCGCAAGAAAAAGGCAGTGGGTGCATGCGTGACAAACCATGAAATCCGTACACCTTATGTACTGTATCCTGAATGTCAATACCTGTGACTGGAGTCTGGTGGCCCAGTGTTGGAGGGCGGCAGCCAACATGATGTCTCTCCCTTTTTTCCTCTCCAAACTCTCTCTCCATCTCATCCACCCTCTCCTGTGGGTACACATCCACACATATATACACAGCACACCAGAAACGGCGTGCAGCTCCTTTTAAAGGCAGAAACTTTTAAAGGAGAGCAATCAACCGCAAACGCAAATTTTGTGGAAAGGGACCCATCAATGCATAGTTTTCAACTGAATTGCAAAGGTATCCTCCCTTGAAGGTTTGGCACTATACAAGTAAGAGTCTACCTATATATAACTATTATACTGAATACATGTCTGACCTGAGTGTTACAGCGAGGTGCCACTGCTGGGCTGTTTCTCGAGACTCGAGTCTCTCTCTCTTCCCTCTCAGGTACTCAGACCAGCCACCCCACACCCTCTTCACCACCCTTCTCTCATCTACAGAGACAGAGAGAGTAACACGGGCCACATCATGGACACTCTACAGCATACTGTGGCAGATGGCTAACTGCTTGATGGCTCTCCTCTGCTTTCTACCTCTCACAAACTCAGTCCAGTATTTCCACACCAACATCCACAGTCTATACCTGCACCACAACCCACACTTACTTACCATACAGTGGAAGATTGTTTACTAGAGTGAAAATTCTCTGATTTTCTGACACCACTAGAAAAGCAAATGAACCAGTTCTGGGGCTCGGGTGAACGCGGATAGACTAGAGTCAGTGGTGGGCCAACTTGCCTATTGTGGCAGTCGGCTCTGATATTGAGTTTCCACTCCCTCCTGGCACTCCACCACACCTGGCTCCAGGCACCGATGCTCCGCCTCTTCAGCTGGTGGGTGTGGTGTCTTCTGGCCGCACTCGGCAACACTCGTCCAAACACCTTCCTGCCCCATATCACCCCATACTTACGGCTCAAGTAGAGCTGCCTGCAAGACATAGATGTAGCTATACATACTTCAGAAAAAGGGCCCTCTGAATAAGGGACACCTCTCTGTAAAAGACGCTTGGTTCTGCCCTATACTAATACCTCCGAATGAGGGATGCCTCTGAATAAAGGAGACTTTCGAATTACCGCTTTCTTGACTGGAGGATTTTCTGTAGTTCTCTCCTACCAACCGTCACGCCTCGATTTCCACGTGCCACCTTTTTTCTGGTTCCCACGCTCGACTCAGTCTTGGTAGGTCTGCCTTCAGCTGCTGTGCTCTTGCCACGACCATGGTTCTTAGCCCTCCCTCTACCAATACCACGTGGTGCTCCTCTCTTCCCTACTGGTCTCGAGGCGATGAGAGGCTCTGCTAATGCACCAGTGCCTTGTTTTAACTCCACTTCTTTTGTTTCAGGTGGTGATGACTTGGTGAACGTGGCTCGGAGGTTACTGGAACCCACCATCCGATTCTCTGGTGGAGTCACCTGGCTTTCAGGAACCTGCGTAACTGCAGGAATTCTTGAGGCACCACCTCCTACTGCAGATGAAGTGTGTTTGAAGCTGCGTTTGAAAAAGCTGCTCTCTGCACCTTTGACCTGCAAGTACATCTTTGCTCCTCTAACTCCAAGGAGAGGAGGAGTACAGCTGAATGCAGGCGACAGGCTCTCTGGAGCTGACATTTCTCGGCAGCGAGAGGCGAATTTAATTCCCGCTCCTCCGGCTCCGATCCGATCCTCCACCTGTTGCAGCACGTGATCGTTTTCGCCACGCCCCCGTTTCCACGGCAATAAAGCCCCGCGGGACGCCGCGGTCGGTCTACTTCATATCGTCGCGCCGTGAGCGTGCTGCATGTTGCTGCTGCGTGAGGCCTGCAGTGGAGATGACGAGGGAAAAAGCGACGGAGAGACTAAATCGTTTTGCACAACTATCAACTCCAAAGGAGAGCAAGGCAGACTGGTGGACCTCCTTCGGGTAAGCTACGTTAACACAGCACGACACACATGCACTAATACTTGCCTTTCCACAGGCCAAAGCTGCAATGGGGTAACCAGGAGTCGATGTGGCCTGTCAGTCGTGCAGCTCTCACTTCCACTCCATCTGCACGGCTGACACAGCTGGCCCAGTGCAAGCAGGACCACAGACGGCCTGATACACTGATGTGAGCTGCAGTCTCACTACCTCATGCGCCAGGTCCATCAATAGTTAGCTCTCATGCTTTCTGTGTCATTTTCAGCCCAGAGTACCAGTTCAGCTGTGGCCGCATGTCAACACTCTGGGACGTCTCAGAGGCAGCTCTAAGTGCACTCTGCTCCGAGCGAGTGTCTTTCCTGGCAAGACACAAGACAGCTGTATCGGGCTACCTCAGACACAGGTGAAAAGCACCGCTCTCTATTGATATTATGGTCAACTGTCTACACAACATTAAATGAATGTTGGTGTGGTGGGGGCTGTAATGCAGTGGTGCGGTGGTGTGTGTTTTATCCAATGAATACCACAATCTAGCAGCTGAGCAAATGGTCCATCAAGAAATTCATACTTTTCTTCGTTATGCACTTGCACACTTGTTCACGATACAGGGAGCAGTTTGTCTACAGCTGTGGTCGCTGCTCTCCAATATGGAGAGTGAGGCAAGATGCCATAATCTGCCCACAGAGACCTCGCACTGCCAGCCTCGCCCAGTCCAAGAGAACACATCGACTCTATATCCCAGCCAGAGAGGTTCACACTTTGTATATCCGCATCAAATTTGTTTGTGATGAGATGTGTGTGTGTGTGTATTTGTAGGTTCAGACAGTAGTGAGTAGAGCAGCCAAGGGCTGTACAGCCTCAGAACACACAGAGAGGCTCGCCAAGGCCAAGGAGAAAGCTGAAGGCCCATTCAGAGAGCCACAGTCGCAGGTTTCAGAAGCGGCCAAGAGAGCCAGGCCAACTGACCGGATCCTCGACTTGGCTCGGCCAAAGAAAGTCGCCGAAGGCTACCAGCCGTGTAGAGACGTAGAGTGGAAGGTCAGCAACGGAGCTAAGAATGCAGTAGCCAGCAACAGGTAAACAAACCAGCACACAACATCACACCCTTTCCTTGTATATATACACTGTAACAATTGAGCTCTTGATACACATTTCTCCTACAGGATGAGTGAGATGGCTGGGCCCATCATAAGGGAAACCATGGACCACGTGCAGTTCAACCCAGATGCTTTCAAAGTGAGCGAGGCTGCCAGGAAGGCGACTGCCTCGGCACGCATCAAGGAACTGGCCCAGCCCATTAGAAGAGGGACATAGCCAAACGCTGCACACACAATTTATCCCTCCCCCCGCCCCAAAATTCACTGGTTTTTAAACAATATTGTGAACTGATACACATTGACATGCAGCGTGAGTAACGAGAGTTTACGAGTAGCGGCCAATCAACATCTTGTTGAGAGTTTTAGCCTGCGATTTGCTGGCATAGCGTGGTCTTCTGATCCGGCATTTACGGTTGTGTGACTTTGAAAGGAGGTTGTGGACGTTTCCCGGAGGCCAGAATTTGAGTTTCCCCGAACCAGTCCTTCGAAACCTCTTTGCAACTGCTTTCACTGTCTTCATCTTGCCGAGTTTGCTGTGCTTCACCACAGTTCTGACGGGCACGTGGGGCACAGCTAAACAGCCAGTCTTTCGTGGTGGAACAGGTCTCAGCGTGGCCGTGGTTGATGTCGGAGAGAGGGAGAGACTGGAGAAATACCTACAGAGTGTACTGTTGTCAAGAGATGACTGCATTTTCCGTGAGAAAAGGCTGTGTCCCTGAAGAGAGGGTGTGGAGACGGATATCTTTGCCCGTGAAAACGTTCCACTCAGCTGCTGCAGACCTCTGGCAGCGCGAAAACAAGCTGCAGCCATAATTGTATGCAGTGGGACTTGGGTTAATAACTGAGCATGCGCAGTATATAGCATACCGTGTGCGCATGCGTAGTTTCATCTCCACAGCCGGCCATCTCTAGCTCTAGCAGCGTCTCCATTTGCTGTGTGAACGACTGTATGGCTTTGCAAGAGAAGTTCCGCGAGCACGGAGTGGTGCCTGATGTCATTGACGAACCTCCAGCCGAGCTTGCAATTGTGAGATGCGCGCCGTCAGTCTTGCAGCGACAGGGTTTTTTTGTTTTTCTCCTCACACAGGTCAAGTACGACTGTGGGGTCACCGTCGAGCCCGGGGCCATCCTGACTCCGACCCAGGTGCGGCGAGAAACGCCCTACAAAGAGGCTCTAGTGCCGAGGGTTAATAATGATTATACCTCTTGCAGGTCCAGAATGCTCCAGTGGTGACATGGCCAGCCGAAGACTCTGCCCTGTACACCCTCATAATGACAGGTAAACCTCCCCTGATTACATCACTATGACATCGTGCAATTTACAACTCATCCAGATCCAGATGCTCCGAGTCGGAGCGACCCGAAGTGGGGCGAGTGGCGACATTGGGTGGTGTTTAATATCCCCGGGGCAGACCTCGCTAAAGGGGAGGAGTGGTGGGCCTACGTCTGGCGCTGGTCCTCCAAAAGACACTGGACTGCATCGCTACATCTTCCTCAGTCAGTACAGTGAAACCCCTCGAAAAACTATTCTCCAAATAAAGGACACCTCTATATAATAGAACACTAGGTTCTGCCTCAATAAAGCACACTTTGATGTTCCCGAGGTGTTCCTTATTCAGAGGTTTCACTGCATATGTAGTCTTCTAAACACTGCGTTCAATTTGCCCTGTTCTATTTGCAGTCTACAAGCAGCCCAGCGGCAGGATCACCCCCACGCTGCCTAAGCTGGGGCTGACTGGCAAAGGTCGCAACAACACGAAAGCCAAGGACATGGTGGGCGAACACAATCTCGGTAACCCGGTCGCTGGAAACCTCTTCCAGGCCCAGTGGGACGACTACGTACCCAAGCTCTATGAAAAGCTGCATTAGACTGAAAAGTGGAACATTTTTGTGTGCAATGCCGCAATTTTTGTATGGGCAAAAAAACTTTTGACTGCATATTAAGCCACATAACGAACGGCACACATTTTAAACACATGAAATCTAGAGCACATGCACGACTCAGTTCTTGAGCAAGTTAATGACGTTGATGGCACAGTCGGTGGAGCCCGTGAGGCAAGTGCTGTAGCTGCGACCGTGCAACCAATCCACACACGTGACCGGACCGGAATGGCCCGAGATGGTCACCACAGATCTCAGATTACTCTCCTGTCCCACCTGATGAAAGACGGCAACCACCATTTCTTACAGCTATATAATACACTCATGACATACAACGGAAGTCCTCTAAATTTGAACACCAACGGGCCAGAAAAGAGTCTTCACATTAGTGAGCAGGCCTTATTTTGGGCGATGCAAGAACTGTTCTTGGGGAAAGATAACGTGTCTGAGGTGTCCTTGTTTCTGGGGTGTGTTCCACTGTATCATGTCTGCAGACTTACTGCGTATATGATGGCCTTTTGGTGGGAACAGGTCAAGACGTAGCGATCCTCGCTCTCAAAGGCAAAGAGGTTTCCTCGTGGTGTGGTTGGGAAGCAGTGTCCCCCTGGTTGAGGGGACCAGCCTCGAGCTGGGTTACATGCACTCTCGTCCACCCAAAACTGGGTCACCTACGTATATTATACCAGACCAGACGAACAGACAGAGAGGGGGCGGAAGGAGGGCCAAATCATGTAAGTCTTGCATTCATGTAACAGGCTTTCATACACTACATAAGAGTTGTCCCTTTCCAAAGGCTGTAACACACATACGTAGTTCTGTACCTTTGCTCCCGACTGAATGATGCTCCACTGACAGAAGGCAGAGTCACTGCCCATGCTGTACACTGAAGTCTCGTCGGAGCTGAACTGCACATTGAACACCTCGCCAGAGTGGGCCCTCCACGCACACAGACACTCCTGCTGGAACACATCTGCAGCATACACACACACAGAGAGAGAGAAAGTTTAGCCTATACAGCCAGAGAGCGACTGAATATACCAAAGAGACGTATCATTCCGTCCACGGCTCCAGTTAGCAGTAGATTGCTGTTGTGGTTGAAAGACATGCAGTTGACAGCAACAGGCAGTGGCGACAATGGCAGTGAGCACTGCATACAGTAGATGCACTCGTATACTTAAACTTTATAAGCACGCGTTGTATAATGTACCTTCATCTTTTGGGATTTGAGGTCCCAGACGTACACACCGCCAGGTATTGGCAAGTCACCTCTTCTCACTGTGCCAGGTCCTCCGGATGACCCTTTGACCTCCATGGCCGTCATCTCGGCGGCTGCTCGATGCGAGGGGAGGGAGGGAGAGGTGAGGGTGAGAGTTCGGTGTGAGGAGGTGGAGTGAGGAATGACAGTGTCGGATGCAGACACGGCAAAGATGGAGGGACCACAGGCAACAGACAAGATCCTGACAAAGGAGGGGGGGAGACAATGCACTGACTACTGTAAATATAGGCTGAAGAATAGAGCACACATATAATGGTTTGCCGAGTTGTTAAAGAGTGAGGTGACCCCGAACTTGCAAAGTGATTCCATTATGGAAAGTGCCGCCCCCCCCTCCCCCTCCTAAAGGTGTGTCTCCTATGCTTGCACCTTGGATAGCTGATGTCACTGGTCACCTCCCAGAGATATTGGGAGCTGGAAGTCTCAAACAGCTTCACTGACCCACCACCAGTTCCCAGGAGAACCTGGTAAATAACACACACACACGCGGCAGTGCAGTAGGATAAGCACCGTAAATACAGGTGATGTGGAACGCGGTGCTGCTGTGTGTGGCTCAGAGACTCACCAGGTTCTCTGACTGAGGAACCCAGTCGAGGGAGAGGAGAGAGGACGTGAGCTCAGTGGTGGCCGTCGTACTGCACTTGTTTGGATCCCACACCCTACGAGAGAGAGAGAGAGAGCTCAGTTTGATGTGCCAGCCAAGAAGCTCACATCATTCTGCCGTCGGTGTCAACGCTGGCCACCTGAGTGGCATTGGGTGAGAACTTGCAGTGGGTGATGGGGGCAGAGTGGTCCAGATAGGACACCTGTCGCACCGGGAGGAACGGACAGTTTCCATCAGCATCTGAAACACACGCACAAACAACACTAGACAGGGTCCAGAGAAGGACAGGATAGCCAGAGAGCTCAAACAGACCTGCATGTGGGACCACACTGCCTCCGTCCTGGGCTTAAAGTGGAAAGACAAGAGCAGAGTTAGCTGCAACAGACCCATCCACAATACCCCTGCGTATGTACCTCTCAGTTCGGTGTTGGCTTGCTTCAGAGTCTCTGCCTTGCCTCCCTGGACCTCTGATCTGTTAGCTGGAGGTCCGACCGGTGCAGGTGTAAAGGACACCTCAAATGAGTCCTGAGGAGGTGCAAAAAGAAAGAGAGAGGGAAGAAATAAGGGAAACAGCAGGCGATAATGTCATCATAGCTTCCCATTAAAATACAGAATTCTTGTTTGCTTCCCCAAAATGTGTTGTATATGTTCTAGTAGTTCTAGGGAACCTTGGTCGAGGAGCGAGAGAGTGGCTGGGACTCTGCAGTGGGTGTCACACTTGTCCTCTCAGGAGCCGTTTCCTTTGCAGTCTGAACCGGTCTCTTTCCTCCCGGGGCCGCTGCAGCATAGGCAGGTGTGGAGGGCTTCTTTCTGCTGGCCACGCCGGCAGGCACCTTCCCCTGCAACTTGTCTGCCTTTCCAGCACTGTGTCTGAGTGAGATATGGAAACAACGCTGCTATGTATATATACCATTTCTTCTCTCATAAATCTCTGGGCTAGTATATATCATTGATGCAGAGATTTGCAACCTCTGGAAGTGTATGACTGAGCAGAACACTATTGCACCAGCTAACGTACTTCTCATCTAGCCCAGAGGTTTATGACAAGCGTACTAATACACCAGTGGAGGAGCCTAACCTTCTCTTGCTGGAGACATTGCTGGCCTGAGCCGCCGCCTGCTGTGCCAATCGGGCCTCCAGCTTCTGGTTTGTCAACTCTGCGTGCAAACAAATACTCTGGTGTATCTTTATGTGTACGTGCAGGTCATTCGGGCTGACCGAGTTCAGTGAACGCACGTCTCGTCTCGGCCAGCTGGTTGTGAAGGTGGTGATTCTCCGTGGAGAGGGCCTGCATCTTCTGGTGCTCTGCCTCGAAGCTCAGCAGAGCTGGCAGAGGTGGGCAGAGTCAAGGAACGACCAACAGTACTATCAGCACAGTAGTGCATTGGTCTGATTGTATATATTACTGTGCAGTGAAAGGAGGCACTTGCAGTTTGCAGAGACCAATACTTCAAGGGGGACTGAAAAATGTCACATGTATATACACCTGAAACTAATGTTAAGCATAATATATAAACACAGAAATGAAGGATAATACACGTCACAGATAAAGTAAGTGGAAGCGTGGGCAAGGGAGGGGGATATGGATTGAGGTGAAGAGGGTGCTGAAGAAGTTGTGGAGGGTGATCTGGAAGGTGTCCAGCCACTCCTTGCTGTAGTAGAGTCTGAACGTTGGGTGCTGGTCGGGGTTCTTGGTGAACGGCAGAGCTGCAACAGACAGACACAGTCTTGCAAGACACACACACACGGAGAAATGGACGAAGAGTGAGAGAGAGAGACTCACCAAACCAGTCCTTCCACTCCTTGCGGTCGTGGAGGGAGTCTGACATCTTCTCAAAGAAGGCTCGCACCTCCTCATGTCTCCCTGTCTTGCTGGCCTGCACCAGAAACAACCTGCAGTCAGGAAAGAAAGGCACACACACACATACACACTTGAGGCTAGTTCAGTAACGGAGAGTGTTTGGCTACACCTGAGGACGTTAGTCTCCAGTCTGTAAGCCATGGTGAGGGACTCACTATTCATCTGGCTGAAGAACCGACCGTACAGGTGGGACCAGAAGCTCTGGAGACTGGGAAAGTCTGACTTGAACACACACTGCATTATGTACTCCACGATCCGGTTCACCTGCAGTTGTGTGTGTGTGTGTGTGTGCACAGACAAGCTGACCTGGAGGCGTTCTAATTGATGCGCATCGTGGTCTCACTCTAAAGCTGAATCCTTTGTCTTTGTCGTCCCTGCGCTCGGTCTCAAAGAGTTTCAGGGTCTGCGTGAATCCACGAAACAGGAGGTATTCCCTGATCGCATCGTCCAGTGCCCCCACGGCGAAAGCCATTATCGCTCTGGCTCGAGCCTCTCTCTATTTTAGCGAAACCTGAAAAACTTTCTTTATTGTTTACAAGTAGTTTTCAGGTCAGAAAGGTCAGAATGTCTTTAGTGCACTCACGTAACTTACTCTAAGACCTAAAGCCTACCAACTCTTCGCGAGTACTCGTCTCTTCTCTGTTGTTGTGAGTTGATCGTAACTTTTCTCTTAGTACTTATGTTTTCTGAAATTGAAAATGCCTAGTCTTTCTGCCATTCATCCACGTAATGTACGTTTTTACTATGTTCGAGCGATTCTCGCTGCCTTACGATTGATAACGGAACAGTGAGTTTCCCAAGTGAAACAGTGTGTGTATGATCTCCACAGGTATAGTGATTGGAAGAAATCATGGCCTCCGTGACTGCCAAGTGGATCTGCCAGTCTTGCTCCTGTCACAACCATTCCTCCTCTTCCCGCTGCACCGTCTGCAACACCTCCAGACCCACAGATCTCTACTACCCCGCACCCCGCCAGAGCCCCCGCCTGGCGGGCGGTGGACTCAGTCACCCAGCCTCACTCAGAGCCAGCGAAGCGGGATCTCGTCGTCAGATGTGATCATCGATCAGTCGCCGGCTCGCTACAGACCCTCCTCGATCCTCCCCGTGATGCAGGGGAGGGACGGGAGGGGGGAGTGGGGTACCAGCGGAGGAGGCCCCGGTGCACATCAGTCCAAATGGGTCTGCTTCGTGTGTACCTACGGGAACTGGCCCAACTCCAAACACTGTACCATGTGCAATGCTCTCAGACGACAGCACCACAAACTCTCGCCTCAGGTCGGAGGAGATGGGGTTCCTGGGGGTGTTGGTAGCAGTGGGGGGAATGGAGTGGGAGGAGGAGGGGGCGGTGCTGGAGTTATCGGGCGATTCGATACTGGACTATGTCCCGCGTCACTTGGACTACGTGGCCAGCCCGGGAGCCGTCGGTGGAGGAATGTACGACGAGATCCGTGTTCCTCATCACTCTCAACATGCCAGAGACTCCACCTCGAACCGCTCGTCAGCCAAACCCAGGAAAAAGTCGTCGGTCGACAACCGCAGCGGCCAGAGAAAGTGGAAGTGCTCAAAGTGCACGTACGAGAACTGGGCCCGGGCGGGGAAGTGCATCATGTGTCAGACTACCAAGAACAAGACGCCGAGTCCTCCCATGTCAGACAGCGAGACTTCTCACTCACCCAACCCAGCAACTAAGCATCGCCACCCCTCCTCTCCCTCTGAGAACGCCAACTCTTCCTCCTCCCTCGCCTCCCTCTCTTCCTCATCTCTCCACGCCCGCTCCCTGGGCATCAACTCCAACCAGCCTCCCTCCTCGGCCTCTCCCGCTCACACCGACTCAAGTCCCTCGGCAGTTCACCTCATTCCCTGCACCGCTGCCGGCACGTCCACCGACGTCCTCCCCTCCTCCTCCCTCAAGAGCACCAGCAACGAGGTCCGCCAGATTCGCAATCGTCTCTCCAGCTCCGACTGGCTCTTCATCAACGCCTGTCTCGGCGTCGTGAACGAGGACGTCCCTGCCGTCAAGGCCTATCTGCGTGGCGAGGGAGACAGAGCGCGACAGCTGGGCAGAGACGAGTGTCTGCTGCTGGGTCAGCCATCCATCTTCTCTGTCGGCAGCACTCTAGTCCACCTAGCCATCAGGTGAGTCAGACATGTTTGTGCCCGACAGTCTCTGGTCCTACAGGCACACCAGTATACTGCGTAGTGCGAAACTTTCAAACGAGAAAACTTTCGTGGTTTATGAACTGTCTGCAAAAGTTTTTTGGAGTGAAAATTTTGGTAGTGGAGGGAGGACATTTGTACTGTGTGACCAGCAATCCACAAAGGGCTATTATAGCTGTTTTGTTTCTGAACAAAAGCTTCCAGCTACAACTACTCCCCACTCACACTTTCAATTTCGGCTACTCCGTTTACACATAAATCCCCATCCCATGGCATGTGTGTACATCTGTGAGTGCATAAAGTGTGCTTTGGCACACTGCATAAATACTACATTGTGTTTCAAAGTGTGCCTGCAAGATTCCATTTCTTCTTGATGCGTTTACATTTCCTCTCTGTTTTCCAGGTACCAGCGATCAGACATTCTGAGCCTGCTGCTGACGCCAGCCTCGTCCGATGCCCGCAAACGTCTTCCCTCCCAATCGAACCCCGACCTGGCCACCAGCATCCGGGAGGAGGTGGGCAGATGTCTCAAGCAGCACAAGGGACAGTGGCCGTGCTACTCCTTCACCCACATCTCTACCTTCACTCTTCCAACTGGTGAGCCCTCTCCATCATGTACATACACTATAGTGGGGAAGTCTGAGGGAAGCAGGTGATTGCTTTTTCATACCCTGAAAACATCACCGAAAATACTTTCCAGGTGGCTCTCAAACTGTAAAATTGTGAACCCTTGAAAGTTTTCTCACTGTACATTTGCATAGTCCCACAACTAGTACGTAGATTCTCGGCCATGCTAAAGACTGTGTATGCAGTGTGTGTGTGGATTGCATACACCGTAATGCTCACGTGTGGCTCGGTTAAACTGCAGAGATTCGAAGATTCTGTGTGGCAGTGCAGAAGAAAGTGTTGGACGGAGTAGTAGACAGAGAGGTAGAGAAAGGTGAGCCGCTCTTCCAAAATCTTCTGTTTTCTAAGCGTAGTCTTGTGGAAACTCTCTCTTTGGCTTTCTCTCTCCCCACAACTTTAAACCCCTTCAAACTCTTCATTCCCTTTGACTCTCTCTCTTCCCTTGACTCGGGTGTATGTACATACATACATGTTGCAGAGTTGGAAGAGGGGACCCCCATCATTAACTGGAGCAGCGAGCTGGTGGACGACATGGGTTGCTACCTCTACCCGCTGTGGAACCGGACGGCGGGGGACTGTCTGCTGGACTCTGTCCTCCAGGCCACCTGGGGAGTCATGGACCGAGACGGGACCCTCAGGAGAGCTCTCGCTGATAGTCTCGTCGATGGAGCCTCACTGTGAGTGTGTGTATATACTGCTGACCAGGACTGTGTACTACAAACATATGCCACCACCTACTATTGACCGATTCAGTTGTGCTTACACAACTTTATGTTAGCATTTCCTCTTATTGAAGACTCGCTGTTGCACTACTACATAGTTATGTACGAGTTTCGTGAGCGCACACCCAAGCACCATCAGTTTCTTAGACTGGGTTGCATACCGGTATAGATGTCTCTTGGTGCTTCTTGATGCCTCTCTTCTGCTGCAGGTTCTACAAGAGGTGGAAGGAGGAGGAGCAGCGCCAGGCCCACCTCCAGGGCTACAGTCTCGGGGAGGACCAGCTGCGACAGGACTGGGCCGCTGTCCTGGCACTGGCCGACCAGAAACGCAAGTCCCTCGAGCAGATCCACGTCTTTGCTCTGGCTCACGTCCTCCGTCGACCCGTCGTCGTGTACGGCGTGAAGGTAGTCAAGAACTTCCGCGGAGAGAACCTCGGATTTGTCAACTTTGAAGGTTTGTCATCACTCATAGCAGCAGGTGTATCATTTGGTAAGATTCTTCCATTCCAAGTAAGCATGACAGATTCCATTCCAAGTAAGCATGACAGATTCCGTTCCAAGTATGTAAGCATGACAGATTCCGTTCCAAGTAAGCATGACAGATTCCGTTCCAAGTAAGCATGACAGATTCCGTTCCAAGTAAGCATGACAGATTCCGTTCCAAGTAAGCATGACAGATTCCGTTCCAAGTAAGCATGACAGATTCCGTTCCAAGTATATAAGCATGACAGATTCCGTTCCAAGTATATAAGCATGACAGATTTTCATGGCCTCATATTCACACGGCATACATGTGCATGCACCTGGCAGACACGGCATACACTGGTATGTAAATTCTTGGAATTAGGGAATGAATTTTGTCCCAATGAAAACACTATTAATGGTGTTGTGAGTGCGTACTAAGCACTAGCATGGATAGCTCTGTGCACTTATGGGCCGTGAAGGTTTGTACACTAATGCACTTGTTTACTGTGCAAAGCTTTTCTTTAGCTGTGCTCTGTACATATACATGTACATATGCAGGGGTCTACCTCCCACTCATCTGGGAGAAGAAGTTTTGCTCAAAGAGCCCCGTGGCACTGGCCTACACGCGAGGACACTTCTCCGCACTGGTCAGCCTCCCCTCCTCGCAGACCAACGAGGTGGGGGCGTGGTCCAACAGGTCATGTGACAGCCACGTGTCCTACCTCCCACTGGTGGACAGCGAAGGTAGACAGTTCCCTCTCCACTTCATCAGCGAAGAAGAGGTATGATAACCTGGCATCAACGAGTAATCCACAAATTTCTAGGCAAAAGCTCTCTCTATGCAATTTAGGAAAGTCAGTAGTGGAATAATGTCTCGTGTTGATGTGTGCAGATTGGGTGTGAGGAGAGGCTACTGAAGCAGTACTGCGAGTGCCACGTGACCAAGACAGGTATCCTGACGGCGGTACAGGAGGCCGGCTGCCCCCACTCCCTGGTCAGCCAGCTGGTGGACGAGTGGCTCGACCGATACAGACGCATGGACAAACGGAGAGAAGCTGCAGCTTGCAGCAACTATGACTCCGACAGCTAGGCCTATAGCTAGTAGGCCTATAGCAATTACACCATCACCCACAGCTAGTAGGCCATTGTATGCTTCACCATCACCATCATCATCCTCTGTTGTAATAGTGTGTAGAGTTGTCTACTGTGTCATGTTCATAGTTGGAACTGCCAAGATTCATGTTTATCCAACCATCTCAGTTTCTCAAGCATGGCTATTTACATGAAAAGGCAATGGGAAACTCCCCTAATCACTAGAGATAAGATAAGATAACAAAGGCACGGGTCACATGACAGCACAACATACGTATAGTATATGATATATAATGCAGGGATAGTTCCCTGAAGTCGGCAACATCTGCTGGTTGATTGTCTCCAACAATGTCTTTGTCTCTGGAAGAACTTGTCTTGGAAATAAAGGCTATCTATGAGCCACTGCTCGGGATGACTTTTGAAGGCTCTATTCACGAGGAAAACACCCCAGCTGTGTGCACTGGAGGCCCTAGGGATGTGGTGAATGTTCGTGATCAGGGAGTCATTGGGCTGATGGAAACTATTGTGGATGAGGTGGAGAGGGTTTCCAAGAAGGTTGAGCCATACAATAACGAGGAGAAGGTGTGGAAAGGCATAACACCGAAAAAAGGACCAACAAAGCTGTGGGTGAAATCCCTCAAAGAGACCTATAAAGGGGACAGAACCACCTTTACAGTGGCCAACATTGAGGTTCTGACAGGTCTTAACTGGCAGAAATCCTACCGTGCCATGGTCCATATCACCCTGGTCTAGGTGAGGAAAAAAAGACTTGACATTTCGTAGTATGTAGTTCTAGTGACTCCATGGAAAGTGGAATTAGGGATAAACACAATGTAGTGCATTGTTCTGCAGTACTAGAGTAGAGGTGTGACTTGGCAACAACTATCAATTTTGCGCATGCTCATACCATACCATGAGTTGGTCTGTGTGTGTATTGCGCAAAGCAAATGACACTAACGATGATTAATGTTGACAATGTTTACAGTAATAAGTAATAACAAACAGAGAGAAATTCTAAGAAGGGTGGGATGTCATTCATTCATGGAGGACAAAAGGGGAGGACTCTAGCAAAACAGCACTCAAGATCAGTCTTGCAGGGTGACTGAAGCAGCAGTGACTGATGTGCCATGGAGGGACTGAGCATGGAACAGATAACAGAGATCACAACTTGCATCTACAAACCACTGGTAGGAAGAGAGTTCAGCGGGGTTGTGGGCAGCTCCCATAATGTGGAAACAGTTGGGCCCAGATTCAGAATCATGATTGTCGAAGAGAATATGAAAACTGTCATGGAGACCATCAGAACTATAATGGAGGAGCTCTTTGGGGAGAGCATTTGGAAGGGAATCACATCCCACGGCTTACTGTGGGTGCCCAGAGCCCCTCTGGGGTACCAGAAACTGAGGGTGGTTGGTATAGGAGTGGATCCACTAGTGAATGATGGTATGGACTTTGACTGTGCAGCAATGTCCGAGAGAGAAGGAGCACACTATGAACACAGGGAGTGCACCGTTCTCCCTTCCCTTCCTGCACACGGACAGCTAGCAGATACCTCACAGGGTGCAATACTACCGCATTCCACGAAATACGCTGCGTTGGTGAACGTACTGGTGGAGCAGACAACATGATTTGATTTATTACGTTTGTATGATTGTGGAGTCCAAGTATCAGATTGATTGTGTTTATGTCTACATAACATGGCACTTCAAGTAGGGAAAAGGGGGACTCAGTGCTCCATGCCAGAGAGTGGCAGTCTTCTGATACGAGATGTCTCTCTGAATGAAAACACAACACCAGTCCTCAATTGTATATTATAGAGGCAACACACACTACATAGTTAACATCCATGAGAGCTAGTTGGTACACACGCAAACTCAGTGGCAGGGTTCTACAGCAACTATACCACCATACCCGACTTCTTTGGAGACCTTGAAGTAGTGCTCGGTGTAGCCGGCCTGACCGAGTACATCAACAAACTCTGTGTCGTGAGTTATCACTATCAACTGGAAGTTCTTCTGACTGCTCCGGTCCCTAGAAACACCATCATCGTGTCATGTTAAAACCTAGGCCGACTCCCAAGTCTTCCCTGCTATTAATCTTGGTTCACATTAAGACTCAATGCATGTGTAGCTATAGCTATAGCAGTGCCACTCCAACTTCTGAATACCCATGTCTCTACGTTTCAAGCAAGACCTTCCCTGCTTTTTTTAACTGCTCCACACACTCAACAACCATGCCAGATATTCTAACAGTATGGAAGGCTTGGGAGAGACAGTATGTAAAATCCGCAGTAGGCTGGCTAAACAGACAGAGAGCTAACTTGACAATATCTGCGAGGGCCTGTGCCAGTCCCTCGATGTTGTCCTTGTCCAGGTTGGTGGTGGGTTCGTCCAGCGCCAGAAGACCGCAGTTGACACAGAAGGTCTCGGCGAGGGCCAGTCTGATGATGATGGAGGCCAGCATCTTCTGCCCCGCACTGCAGCGACCTCGCATGTCCAGTGCCGTTTCACCCTTCAACATCACCACCTGTGCATCAAACCACAGGCCACTGTATTCTGGTTCGCAGGTCAATCTGTTTTTATAAATGGGCACGGCCCACCAAGTGGATCCCTCAACAAAGGGGTGTCAGTAAGGAGGTTCACAAATTCGTTTTAAAATAACCATAGTTGTTGGGATAGTCAATCATTAGCTGGTATACCCCACCAGCTATCACTGTATTGCTACGTGAATGTAATATTGCTGTTTGTGGACCCACTCTATAGTGGTAGACTCTTCTGGTCTTGATACCTCCAGACTCCTCAGTGTCGCCGTCTGATCGAATCTCAATCACGTCGATATCTGAGCATGAGAACCACACCAGGACACGGTATTAGAGCCAGTGGAGGAAGGACTGCATGCATACCTCCTCCGCGGTAGGTCTTGATCCACAGCTCCTTGATGATCTTGTTAATCTCCTCCATCTTCAGCTTGTGAAACCTCATTATGGCTCTGTTCACCAGTCAAGAACATGTGACATCAGTACATTACATACCTATACACCACTGACAGTCCAATACCTATCAAGAACTTTATAGTACTTCTCCAGATCTTTAGCAGCCATCTCTGTAGTCTGTTTTTGGAAGAATCAACGACCCACTAGCCTCCTTCACCCAACATTCAGGAACTCACTCTGAGACTGATGAGCATGTCTTTGTGTTTGCGTTCAGCGTCTCTGTACATGTCTCCCTTGAGCTCTCTCTGGAGCCCTCTCACCCTCTCCTCGTGCCCCAGACTCCCTCCCTCCATACGGGCCCTCTATAATATTGGTACATACACAACCACACCAATACTCAAACGTAGCCATTGATGTCCACAGTAAATTCAGCTCCATATTAGCCTACAGCTAGTTGCCAATTCACTAAACACCACTTCTATACCGTAGCCAACACATCTCTCTATTGGTTATCCTGATTACTCGGCATTCGTCGAAGGGGGAATAATTGCAGGCAACGCAGATGCTGTTACACACTCACACTACTGTACTGTTGCTAAATGCTCAATGTAGCGACTCAACTGCTTAATTACCTCTCTCGTCATTTTCTCCTGTTCTTGCTGCAGTTTGGAGTATTCCCTATATAGAGCAGAGGGAGACAAGTGCAACAAACGGTGAAGTTGCTCTATGGTTAAAGAACCGACTCATCGTATCTGTGGAGACCCATTTCTCTCATCTTCTCTCTCAGTTTCTGGGCGTCTCTCTCCTTCCTGGCTACGTCGGCCGCCACTCTCATCAGCTGCAGCTGGTCCTCCCACTCCCTCTCTTGCAGCTGTAGACAGTAGCACAGCAAAAGCACAACACACACACATGTACATATTACAACATGGGGCGAGCGTGGGTGGGTTTCAATCACTGTAAGCAAAACTTCGACACATGTGCTACACACACATTCGAGAAATCCAAAGGTATTTTTTGATTTTGCAAAAGGTCTTACGGCCCCACAGTAAACCTAAACCAATCTCTAGTAGCCTAGCAAGCAGTCCTTGCCTCAACATTGGCAACTTCTTTCTGCAGTTTCTTAATCTTGTCCTCAAGCTCCTTCCTCTCCCTCGTCTTCCCCTCGGCCTCTCTCTTGATGGAGTTGATACGACCGTTGAGCTGTCGAAGACCTGTCTCTCCTCCTTCACTCTCATACCTTCATTAGATCACAGCGTGGTGTATATGCGGCGTAGGGACAGTATCACGTGTTCATGGGGTCTACCTGCTGATCTGCTGAGTGGTTAAGCCAATGGCATCCACGCTGGATCTGAGGCTGTCCACCTCTGCTTTGCTTACTGCCTCGGCTTCGTCCCGAGCCTGACACAGCTCTCTCTTCTCCTCCTCCTTCCTCCGCAGCTTCTCCTCCACCGGTCCGTGGCGCTGGGCTGACATCTACCCTCAGACACCACGGTTGACAATGAGCAGTGAAAGATCTACGTATACACTACCTCTGTGTAAACATCTACCTTTATATCCCTCTCTTCTTTTTGGATGATGGCTGCAAGGTCTTCCTTCTTGGTGAGAAGCCCCTGCTTCTCCTGCAGTCTCTCCTGAAGCCTCAACTGAGAACCAAAAGACCAACAATAATATAACAGATTCTCAATGTTCTACATACTATGTGACTCACAGACCTTCTCATCTCTGAGTTGGTTGACTCGCTGCTCCAACTGTCGGATCTCCTGCACACCAGACTGGATCTGCTGCCTCTTGTGGTCCATCTTCCTGTCCAGATCCTCGCTGCACACAGAGTATACACAAGTAACAGCACTTGACTCGGAAACAACTACTCCAAGGTTTTCAAGTGAGGTATTAATGCAAAGCAGTGAGGTATTAATGCAAAGCAAGTGGGGGGTAAAAAAAACCTGCTCAGTACAACACCTCTTCTTGAAGAGATTCTAGGCCGAGTGCTCATACACTCTACACGGATGTTGTGTCTCACATCTTCAACTGAACGTCCCGCAGCTCTCTGCTGACGATGACGTGACTCCGCGACGAGTCACTGCCGCTGAGCTGGCTCTCTTCGCTCCCGATCTTGGCGTCCAGCTCCTCCAGGTCCCGGCAGAGCTGCGAGGTCCGGGACACCCGCGGCAAGAGCCCTCGAATCTGCTCTAAGTTGGTACGGAGCCCCGTCACCTTCTCCTCCATCTAGTGAAGAAGAGAATGAAACAGTACATACATTGAAACCTCTGAATAATGAATTAGTGTAATTTTATTTCCGAATTAAGGGACACCGCTGAACTTTTGACATGCCCAAAAGCCTCCCTTATTCAGAGGTCTCACTGAACACTGGAATCCAGTATGGGTGTGTTTATCGACGTACTGCGTTCAGTTCTGTTTTCAGTTTCACGATCTCTGCCTCCTTCTGACCCTTGGCTGCGTCGAGACGAGGAATCTCTCTGTCCCGAAGCTGGGCCAACTGAGTTACAAAGAGAGAGAAGAGAGAAAGTAGAGTGAAATATTACTCAACAAGTCGTAAGTTCAAACCTCTTCGATCTTGGGCTTCAGTTCCTGCAGCGTCTTCTGTTTCTCCTGCAACTGATGCTGTTTGCCCTCCAGAGTCGGGAGGAGACGAGGGACAGTGTTGTTGAGTCTGTCGGTGATCTGAAGGAGAAGACGCGGAGGGGTTAAAGGGGAAGGGCAGGAGTTTGGTTCACAATACGATTGACTTTCGTTTTGTTTCGTTAGCTACTGTCGTATCGTCAAATGGTGCCCAACGCAACGAAGCGAAATATATAGTATGACAGAACACAGAGAACAAAACTAAACGAAGGTCTAGCGTCGTATTGTGATCCAGGCTTGAGGGATGAGAGGAGGAGGATTGACAAAGGACATGGGTGAGAGGGACAGACCGACTTGACAGTCTTCTCGAAGCCGGCGTGATCGCTGAAGCCCCTGGTACAGAGAGGGCACTTGCGAGTCGAGTGAATCTTCTCCAGAGACTTTCTGAAGAACGGGAGCGAGCCCTTCACCGCACTCATGTCACTGCAGGTGTACAGATCTAAGGTCATACACGTCACGTGAGGAGTGGAAATGAAACACACTCGAAGTTGGTCTCAATGTCCTGCCTCAATTTCTCCATGACCTGGTCGTACACGGCTCCATCCTCCCCACACTCCCCAGCCACTTCTCCCTGCAGGGCTAACACAATGGAAAAGGCTGCTAGAGGTGTGTTGTACTGCAGTGCTGACACAACAAAAAACAAAGGTTGTTAGAGGTGTGTTGTAGCTTTTACAAAACAATGTGGATAAGAAAAGTAAAAACGATGGTCAAATCGTGGACTAGGGATGCTGTTGAGCTGTGAGCACGATTCGAGATAACCCTAGTCCTCCGGACCACCTATACTACAGTAGGCACTGTGCCACTCCTTATAGCGTTGAACGAATACAGCTGTGCAGTTGTGGTTTTATAGGCTTGAGATGAATATCATTAAAAGATGGCGTATTTACACACACATGCCATGATGAATTCCTATTAAAACCACAACCAGATTGTAAGTATATACTCTACCACCTTTTTTTACGCAAGTTCAATCCCTGGCTTGGGCTGTTTTTTCTTCTCTAGATTATTACTCGTAAAATTGCAGTAAAGAGTGTCCATACCTTCTACTCTTCTCTTTTTTGCCTTCAGTTGATTCCTACATGCCACACATACACAACACAGAAACCCAGTGTGCTCCTGACTGTCATACACAGTGGTCTTACTCTGTCTCCTCCAGTTGAGTCTGGAGTCGGGAGAGCCCAAACCTTCCCTTCTGAAACTGCTCCTGGCTACTCTGCAGCTCCCTGTTCTTGGTCCTACATATACACACACAACACCCACAACGTGACATAGTATGTCTGAATAAATGGTCCATACGGTCCTCGACCTCTCAATGTTCTCCAGTTGAGTGGGCACGTCCCGGTCATCTGGAGCCGGAATGTGACCGAGGACGGTCAACAGCTCAGCCTCCATACTGCACATCCTGTGTATATACATAAACCACACTCAATACTGGATTGTATACTGTAGCGTTTTTATCGGGCAAATGGTTGCATTCTCTGTATACCGACAACAAATATACTTTGTACAGTGCATCGTACTTCATGCAGTGCATTACGGGTATCTGAAAATGAAAATCCTTCTGAAAAACCAGTTCTCTTGAGATGCAAATTTCAAGGTTTGAGAGCCATCATCAAATGTTTTCTCAACAAAAATTTAACCGAATGTTACAACGGTGCTGACTCGGTCTGGTAGCGCTCCTCCTTGGCACGTTTGTCTCTCCGCAGGGCCTCGAGAGCCCCGCGACTGCTGGACTGCCGGCTGATTACGGAGAGCTCCTGCTGCAGTCGAGACATAATCACCTCCACCTTCCTCTTCTCGCTCCGCAGAACCTCCAGCGCCTCGTCCATCTGTGTGATGTCTGTCTGCGACTTCACCTCCTCCAGCTCACGCTCCTAAACAACCATTACTGCAATATACACAGTGGAAACATTTCTATAAGGACACCCCTGAAATGAGGACACCCCTCCAATACTTTTATTTCCCCAAAACAACCTGAAATAAGCACACCTCACTAAAATGGCTTACTTTATTCCTCATTGGTGTCCAGATTAAAGAGGTTCACTATTATATGTAGGACTAACACCAACCAACACACACAGTACAGACATTACAAGCACGCTGTTGGCCTAACTCTCTTCCTCTACCATAGAGTGGCCTAATAAACACTCTTCTAGCATAGAGTGGCCTACTGTTGAGGAAAGCTCCTTCTGAAGGCCCTCCAGTGCGCTGCCCCCGCTGCCGAGACTGGCCAGCTTCCTCTCGATGGCGGCCATCTTCTCCCTGTTCTCGGCCACCGTCCTCTCCCTCATCTTGAGGGACTGGTCAATCTGTGCCAGGTTAGTCCGCAGATCGTTGATCTCTTTCTGCAGCTCATCCTCCTTCTGAGCAAACCGGAGCTACACAAACGAAAAGCACGCGTGCAAGTAAGATGTAATCCTGAATTAGATTATTGTATAGCGAAAAGTGCAACATTCCCCGTTTTTGCAAGTTTCATGCATGACAATTCAGTTAGCCACATCTCTAGATTAAGTGTATTGAAAGTTTGGTGTTAGAAATACAGGATTCACCCACCTTTTCCTGTCGACCTTTCTCCTCCTCTCCCTTCACTCTCTTGCCAGTCTCGCTCAGAAACCTTCTGACGGTCTCGCTAGAGAAGGGGGCTGCGTCTTTGAATCTCTCCATTCCCAGCTGCGTCGCTAGAGACAGCAGCTCCCCGTCACGTTTCTCTACCAGCTGCAGATGGTTCTGCACACGCAAGAGAGACAGACCTCAATCTTCATTTTTATACATAAAGTTGTTCGTGTCTTGAAAGCAACCTGGCCATGCGTTTTGAAAAAAAAATGGTCGGGGACGGGAACCCCCGTAGATACGAAATCGGCATATAAAAAGCGGCAAGTTGTACATAGGATTAAAGCGGGATATTGTCATTGCTATGTATATCTGGAGAGACAAAGAGAGCTAACTTTGTGGTTCATTTCTTTCCTGCCCTGTTCGTGGTAGAGCTGGCTGAGCTGCTGTTCAATTCCGCTGCTCTCCTCACTCGCATCCTTACACTGCCTCTCCACCTGTATGTACAACACACACACTGTACAACACAGTTCCAGGTTCTGAAGGCTCACGTGCGCCAAGTCCTGTTTGTTTCTCTCCAGCTGGGAGTGGTGGTCATCTCTCAGTCTCTGCAGCTCCTCACGACTACCTACATATATACAACACAACATGATAGACGCTTTACCACTTCTTTTATTCAGTTTCAAATTGGAAAGAGAGGGCAGCGGTAAGCAAGAAGGGGGAAGGTGGAATAGGTATGTGTATACATTGCTGTGGTTAATTTATAATACTCGAGGTGTAGAGAGTGGTTCTCCCCACCGGTGAATGGCTGGCTGATCTTCCTGCGAAGGTCTGCGAGACTCCTGTCCAGCTCCCTCTTGCTGCTCTCAAGCTCAGCTGCAGAAGATGACTATAACTCCTCACTTTTACATCGAGATCTCACCAATCCTGGTCTTCATGGAGTCGGCCTCGCCATACATTTCATTCATCTCCTGCTTCCTCTCCTGCAGGCATTCAGCAGACACTAGAGAACACGTGATAAATCACCGATGGTTGATATCACCTCAAGTGGTCTTAGTTCGCTGGTTATTCTCTGGATCTCTGCTTTCGAAGTCTCGACTTTTCTCTGCATGTCCATCAGTTCACCTTCCAGCTACACACTCACACAGGACACAACGTAGTATAGACCAGTAGACTGTATATGTGTGGCTACATGATAGGTGCCTACTTCTTCAGCCTTGAGCTTGTGCTTCTTGAGATAGTCCAGTTCAGTGGCATACCCCTTACACTCTGCACTCTATATGTATACAATAGCAGAGGCAGATAGAACAGGCAGGAGCTATACGTATATAACAAACCTTTTCCCTCTGCAGTTTATGGATGGCGTCGAGTGCCTTTGAGTATCGCGTGGAGGCAAATATCTCGTCAAACTTTAGCTTCAGAGCCTTGCCTTCACTGAGAGGCCTGCATGTAGTGTAATACACACACACACAGTGTGCTAGGTGTAGGAGGAGCAGTGGAGGAGCAGAACAGACCACGTGGAGTCCTCCTGGTGGCAGAATATGACGTGAGTGAGGATGGCCTTCGAGACACCTAAATGGTTGATCATCTGGAGAACCAACAGCATTAGAAAGGCCAATTCTGTATGGCTAAAGTGCCATCCATACCTCCCGGTCTACTTCTCCAATGCGAGCTGTGAGCTTCATCTTCTGCATTACAATGAATGATAGCACAAGAATCAGCTACATACTCACACTATTGGTAACAGCCTCACCTGACCATCTCTCCCTATCTTTTCAAGAGAAGTATCCACAGTCTTCACCTCTATCTTGGTTGGCTGTGAAACACACAGACACATTGAAAAAACTTAACCACAGTAGAAGTTGCTTCAATACAGAACACGATGCAATCCTCAGTGGCTAAAGACACACAATCCTCTTCCCTGATTAGTAAATGCTGCATATAATGTGGGGAAAAAAACATGCCTTCTGGAGGGCCTGGAGCATTCTGTGGCAAGTGACCATGTGTCCGCCGATGTCCCTGAATCTCAGCTTCACCACTGCACGCACATCTCTCTCCCCAACCAACTGCACACATTATCAATAGCTAAGTAATGGGGGCTACATAAATATTATGTAATAGGTCACCTTTGGATCGTGTACAAATGCTCCACCTTTCGTGTTGGGTGGCTGATCCCCAGTAGTGGCGTATTTCAGGCACTCTATTACTGTCTGGCGAAAGAAAAGCATGTGGGTGACATTCACAACCTTTTGCAGTTTTAACAAGAGAAGGGCCAAGGAAGAAAAAAAAGGAAATGGTCAAATTGTGAGTTGGGTCTGTGTATATACCTCTTTAACCATAGCTCTCTCAACAGTGGGCACTATTTTTCTGTGGTTTTCACCGAAGTTCTAATGGGACGTGTGCAAACTCACAAGCATCCTAGTCCCACAATTTGACCACCTTTTTGAAATTTATTACTGGTAACTGCTGCAAATCTTATACCAGTAACTTTTTGTTGTGTTCCATGCTAAAACACAGTCAAGAATTATGCAAGAGGCTGCTTGCCGTTTTCCCGGCGCCGTTCTGGCCAGTTATGAGTGTGAGAGGCGTGCCAAACTGAATGACTGCCTTCTCCGAATCCCCAGGACCGAAACTGCGTATCCCTGCGACAGAAGAAGTGACGCGCTAGGTTATTCCAATTGATGCACAGCTCCAAAGACGGTCGTCACACGCAGGACCAGCAGCACACATTCACCTTGGATGAGGAGTTTGTCAATGGAAGACATCCTGCCTGCAGAGCTCTCCGCCTAGCCTCAGCTGCTTCCAATCTTCGTTTTCCCGTACACACGCGAACACACATACGCGCGCATACACGTACGTACGTACGTACACGCTTGGTTCCCAAAGCGCATGCGCAATCCTTATGTCGATTGTATGGGAGGAAATCAATCATAATACAAAAGACGGTCTTGATGCAACAGACGATGAAGAAGAGCAGGGGAACGAAAGAGAGAGAGAACAAGTCACATGATAAAACACAACATGGAGCATACATACGACAACAGAAACAGCACCGGGCTACAAGCTGAGAGAGCTGTGTGTCAGCTGCTGCTGCTTGAGGAGTGCTGCTGGAGGCACTGGGAGAATCTCTTTGCTGTGAGATTGATGGTTGATATGTTCTGGAAGAGCGTGTCGCCATCTACAAAGTCTGGGAGGTGGCCGAGGAACTGACCCACCTCTTCAATTGTGTGTCTCTCCATTACTTCGTTCTGGAACAACCTCAAAACACCTGTGGATGTATATATATAGACAGGGTTGGAAGAGGGAGAGAGAGGGAAAGAGGAGAGAGAGAGAGAAAGAGAGAGAGAGAGAGAGAGAGACAGAGAGTAAGCGCAAGGAAAGATGAAGTGGTGGGTAAATTTGTAAGAGAGAGTGCTCACCAAGAGCTGTTCTGAAGAGAAAACAGTCGCCGTCTCTACAAAACAGATCCCACACTCTGCAGGCCACATCCAGAGGAAAGGTGCGAGTGTACATCGTAAATATCCTACGTACACGCATACAACATACACAGACAGAGCCACAGTTAGAGTGTTGAAAAGAGAGCACGCAATCTTTACAGTGGATCCCCTCGCTAATGACTTGAGTAATATATAAACCCACCACTCAATGAGGTAGTACTCGGGAGAGAACTCTAGCCTCGTGAAGTGTTCGTGGAGTCGAGGTAGGTGTTCCTGGAGGAGGGAGGTGAAGGCCGAGAAGTAGGGCCTCATGAGGCCGTGGTCCACTCGGAAGAAGGCCAGGTAGGAGCTGCGGTTGAGGAGGTTGGCGAAACACGAGAAGGCGTCGCTCGCATCCATGTTGAGCAAGAGGACGGCGGCCAGGAACGACATTCCCTGCACGTAGCCCACGTCAGGTCGGTAGCAGGCGTACGCTCCGAGGACGTCGTGCAGCATCTGATTATAGGGGCCACCCTGCATTTCCAGAGACAGTATGGGGAGGGGGTTAAATTTCTGAATTTGGGAGATTGTCACAAAAACTGATAACTATTTCAGTTGCGCATCCTAAAGTTCTTCAATTATGCATACCTCTTGAAAGAAGCCAAGGGTGGGGAAGGTTCTCAACACGTCGAGATGGATGACCTCCACACTCTGCTCTCTGTTGATCCCTCTCAGAGACCCTGACGAGTCTGCACAAATCACACACTCGGAACTCATCTAATATTGAGGCTAGCATCACTCACCGGCCCTTGACCGACTCTGCACTGCTGCCAGACGCTCTCGACACCTACTCAGAGAGATCTGGTAGAGTTCTGGTGAAATGTGAATAAAGCGTAATTTTAGTATCTCCCTTCGTTTCAAGAGAGGATTCCTCACCGGGTGATATGTTGAGGTCGTTCCCAATAGTTCGTTTCCAAACTTCCCCTCGGATTCCGGGAGGCAGGCCCAACCACCACAGGTCTCTCACTCTCTTACTGCTCTTCCTATCACACACACACACACAACACAGACAGCATGACAAGGGAGAATGTATATACGGCGCGGTTGCTCTCACATGTTCTCCCAGTTGGGCAGCACCTTCTGCCAAACCAGCAGCGAGTCGGTCACCATCTTGTCTCTCTGTCTCCTTTGTTTCTCTTTCTCTATTGTCTCTTTTGCCTTCTGGAGCTCTATTGGATCACACACACGTCAAACATTTGGCTAAAGTCCAATAATAATGTAAACACGGGAGTAAGAGGTCACCTTTTCTGCGAGCACCAGCCACCATCTCTTCGTAGAGTTTCTGGTGTCTTTTCACTTCGGCAGCCGATTTAGCCGGAAGAGTTCTGTATAATAATACATTCAACAGTAGTGCTCACACAAGACAGAGGGACTTATGAACTATCCTACATACAGCACACCACGTAATGTATATAGACAGCAAGAATGAGAGAATGTGTTGTTGCTTGGTGCTCTGACCGAGGTCTTCCCTGGAGGATGAGTCCCGTGGTAGAGGAGGCAGCCAGCATCCCCTGAGACCTGGCATCCACTGACCCAACATATGACAGCTTGTTCTTACTGCACCACCACACACCGAGGGAGGGGAAAACAAAGAAAACATTATATTATTATACAGTATGCATGTAATATTCCATGCAATGCCCACAATCGCACAGGATGTAGTGTCAAGGAACATTACACATACATACAGTGATCTAGTCACATAACAGACTGGCTTGTAGCAAAGACAAACGTACACAACAAGGTAACCACATGACCAGGGGCCAAAGGCTATTAGGGGAAGGTGGAGCACACAGAACAAGGAGAGCAGACATTTCTGTATGCATCAGTGTCATCGCGCTCAGACGCTGCACTCGATATGCCACCACGACACTCTGCAGAACATCAACTGGCAATCAAGTGCCTCAGCCTCCCACACCAACTTCCCACATTAGGCACTGAGCTTCAGAAGACATTGTACATACAATGGGATATAACTTTCTTTTTTTAACCGCCCGACTTAGAGGGTAAATGATATTATCAACTCGACCCAGGTGGGATTTCACTCTCCGCCCCTCTCCTCTTTCTCTCCCTCCATCTCACTCCTGTCCTGCTGAAGACTGCCCGGAAGCCTTTGGGTGCAAGTCCAGCCGCGACACCCAGACTGGACCTCCGTGGAGCTCCCTGCAGGGAGACGGCGTCCGGGGCTACCTCATCCTCTCACTGGTGGCGGGGGGAATTTTTTGAGGGACTGTGGTGTCGAGGGAAGGAGGCAGGGAGGAGTGTGGTGTCGTCACCACTGGAGCTCCGTCCTTCCCCTTGTCCTTGTCTGAGACTCCATCCAGCGATATACATCCTTTTTCTCCAACTCTTCTTTTTCAGTATCATCTATGGGGTTACACAAGATACTCAAACTGCTTGACTGAGAGGTGCATGACTGTTGTAACATGTTGCTGTTGCTCGGTGGTTACAAATCCACTGGATTTTTGTTACTGTACAAAACAAAAAGCATAGTACAATGTGTCAAAATGGTGCAGTTTTCAAGATAACCCACTAACAAATACACAATGACACCCCACTCTGAGACAGAGAAAGGCTCACAAAAGCCATCACCCTCCCTCTTTCTCGTCACAGCAGACACCGATGACATCGGCGTGCTCTCTCACACAAACCTTTGTTCAAGTCTCCCAGAGCCTGTTCCACCTCCTCAGACCAGGCGAAGCTCGGCCGTGGCCAGGAGATCTTCCTCCGCGGTCACCAACGGAGGAACGCTGTCGGACGTCACGCAACTGGGGTTGGAGACACCGGAGTCGGTCGTGCTCGACTCGACGTGGTGTAGCCCCGCACCAACTTGGTTGTGTTGGTGGGGACGGCCAGGGAGACTACCGTTCCCCACAGACCAGCTGTCGTCTACCGAAAGCGTCTGTTCTGAGGTTCGAGCTTCGCCTCTGTGGTACTGTCTCGTTCCCGGGGAGCGCAGAGACCTCGAAATACCGTCTCCACTACACTAGCAAGGTCGGCAAGCCATTTACACTCAGTCTCGCCGTACGCGCGCGCACCCTCTAATTAGTACTGTGTAAGCGCAATGAATGACAACAATACGGTTGCCCTATGCAAAACATGATGATATTGGAAGCTACTATGATGTCTGGCTGGAGATTGATCATGAGTTACTGGCACTGGCGAGTTCGCAATGGAGACGCGGCCCCTCTGACGGATGAACGTTGCAACCGACTTCAGTTCCTCCTCTGAGATGAAGATGACTTGCCCCTGTCATCAATGACACCCGTCAAATCTCCATCTCCTGCAACTCATTAACACGGTCAATTGCATCCTGTAGACAAGAGTTCGCCACTGTCATTAGTCAACCAACAACACGTGGATACGTAGTAACACACTTGAGTTTTGAGGTGAACGCTACAGCAAGATTCTCCACTCTACACCACTTCTCTCCCTCTGTTGTAACACACCACAGAACACAGTGTTCAGTTGACCAGCTCTTATACCATACACACACCACACGTTCACCTGTATGGCAGTCCGATGAATCCTGCACTCCTCTTGCCTGAGATGAGAGAATCATAGACGTGCTCAAGAGATTAACTCAACTCACAGAACACTCACCTCCCCTCCTCCTCCTCTCACCCTGCTCCCTTCCTCCTCCACTGTGAATGCCTCCCGAGTCGCTTCAGTACTCCTCGTGCTCCTTTCCGTCGCTCTCCTTCTTCTCTCTCCTTCCGCTCTCAACCTCAGACTCTCCTGCTCCTCCTCCTAAACGCCACAATTAACGCATTTTTGGCAAGTGAAAGCGAGAGTCCGGCATGGAAAATTACAGATATCACCTCTTGCTTTTTTTTGCTCCTTCCTCAGCCTCGGCACTCTTTATTTCCTCCTCCTTAGGGCTTTCACGTTTCTTACGATCTTCACGAATCGCCTGCCTCTTGCTACGAACAAAAGAAAACGTGTTATTTTTGGTGAGGGTCGTCAGACGTCACAAAAAGCAAAGGGGAAGCAAGCATGGATCACAGAAACAGGCAATCACGATAACATACCTCTCTCATGACTTTCTTCTCTGCCTTGTCCTTCATCTTGCGAAGCTTTTTCGTACCAATTTTTCTGAACGGAGATGCCTCTTCTTCCTCAGGAACGGCCAGATCTGGGAGGAAACAACGAGCATTCTCACGTGCTCAATAAAACATAGTATATACCTTCCATCTTCTTCGCCACCTCCTCCCCTGCTATGTTGGCTCGGGCTCTCCTCAGAGCTGCGCTCTAGCTCTAGAGTCCTACCTCGCCCCATCTGCTGTTTGCTGTTGTTGTCCGCCGCCTGCGTCTTCGGCCTCTGGTTCCACTCGCATCTGAATGAGTGGTCGTGTTTCTATTTAATGCACACCGGACACTTTCTACATCACCGCGTTTATCTGTTTCTCGTACTGAAGGTTATCAATGAGAGGACTACCACTAGCACAGCTACTACGGCCGCCAAACCAAGCCAAGTAGGCGTCGGATCCATCAGTTTACCGTCTTCTTCCACACTGGACGTGCCAACACGCATGCGCGCGGTGACCGAGAGGGGCGGGGCTGGCGCAGAAACTCCCACGGGGATCAGACCACGCTAAATACGACCCTCGCTGAGCTAGGAGAGTCAGTAAAGAGACAGAAAGCGTGCGACTACTTACTCTGTGTGTGCGAAGGTCCAAGTAAAGTCCAAGCCGTGCAGTGGACACCGAAGCACACGACCTAATCTGAGTGTTCGAAAGTTCTCGCTGGCTCACCTCCCGACATCCAACCAGAAGTGAGTGAAGTTGTTCGCGCAACTTTTGTACCAAGCTCTCTCCCTAATGAATACGAATGGTGCTTGCGAGCATGGTTTGGCTGCTCAAGCTCTAGACTAAATAATGCATTTGACGGGACCTATCGAGGTCTGGGCTCAGTAAGAAATACCTGCTGTGTATGTTTTTAGTATAAAAATGCTTGCTACAAACGATCTGGTAGTCATATCACCTGCACACATCTGCTCATTGCAAGTCTATAGTTTCCCTCCACCACAATAGAAGCATGTAGCTTGGGGGGGGGGGGGGGGGGGCCCAGTCATGTAGCAAATTGTAACAGCATCCACGCCCGCCTTTATCGGTTCTTATTACCAAGCATGGCAGACTGTCAGTTGGCTATGTCTTTTGCATACTCTACTCTTGTGAACGCTGCTAAAGACCGTTTTCCTTCCATTTATCGGCAAAATCATAG